TATGCTAAACAATTTATTACACTTTAAACTATTCAATATGTTAATAAATACAAAATAAATTTTTAAAGGTATCTTTTAGTTTTGTAACTATTATTTTTTATTTATGTTCATGCTTTTAAATTATTACTAATGCTGACACTGAATTTCGTACATATATATATATATGCTGTTTAAATAATATAATATAAAGTGCACTATAATTGATCTTATTGATCTTCCGACCTTTCTCATATTTATAAACATTGTCATCACTTGATCGAAAGTGAGATCTGATTCAGTTTGCAAATTCTTCAAGTGCAGTTGTCTGATAAATTCTATAAATAGAGATTAGCAACAGGCAGCAGCTGTCCGGTAGATAGAAAACTGGGTTATTTAGGGGCTGTAAATCAAGTATTTATCAACTTAGACCCCTACCGATCGGATGGAGTGGCTTTTGACTGGGACAAACAAGACAGGCAGCTTGCTGCGTGGTCGCATTTATTCGTTATTCAATTCAGGGGCGGGTTCTAAAAGCCCACACTCGCGACTTAGCCATAGTTGGAGCCTGGCCCGAAGGCATGGCTGCTGCTCATAGACACCATTAAGTGGATTGTATAACTGCTTACAATGTTCCTATATAGTTTTCGTACTGTTTTTTTTTTTTTTTGGTGGGGCTTCAAGACAAACAGGAAATGCCGCAGCCAAAAAACCGTTGACCGAAAAAGGCAAACACTTTTTTTTTTGCTTTTACTCTTATAGTTTTTTGTTGCTTAGTTGTTTTTGCAAGTTACGAAAAGTCAAACAACTAACGAAACTTAATACAATTTTGTACGGCAGACCGTCGATGTTGTTGTTGTTGTTGTTGTTTGTCAGCTACTTCCCACCGCCAAAAAATCTGCGGGCTTTGCTCGAAATCTGACAGCGAGCTGTCAGTCAGAATTCCCCTCCAATTTGCCCCGTTCGGAAATATCCGAGTGGGTGTGTTCACTCCGTGAGCCACTCGAATATCTTTCGGCTGCTCTCAGTGTAATTCAATATTTGCCGGTTGCCGTTGGCGGGTCACATTCTTGGAATTGATTGTGCCTAATGAAATGTTTCATTAGCTGAATATAGGGTTTCATGTTTTGCGCGGCTGCCGTGTTTGTGGAACTTGAGCAATTAGAAATTATTATTTGCTTCGGTTAGCAGCTGAGGGGCTTTAATACCGATACAATACCCATTGACGGAGCTTATTGACATGATGTTTGTGACTTGTAATTATTTAATACAATTTTGGCATTATATAAAAGTTTGCTGAATAATAGTTTTTATATCTCAATAAATTTAGTGCTTAATCAAAAAAATTAATTGACTCAAAAGATTTATTTTTTCTACATCAATCATGCAAGTTTGTGTCTTAAGTCTTTTCATTTTTAATTTTATATAAAATTATGTTGTCAAATTTATAATGTTTATTTTTATTATTTTTAATGATATTTGTAAAATAAAATTGTATATGTTATATCTTAATATCTTTTATATCTGCTAAATCGCATAATAAATTAACTCAAAGAGTTATTTTTTCAACTTTAATCCTGCAAGTTTGTGTCTTAAGTCTTTTGTTTTTTACTTACATTTTCTTATAAAAATAATGACCTGGAACAAAGTTTTTATTATTTGAAAAAAATGTATAATATATTTTTAATTTGTGTGGTATCTTGTTTTACATTTTTTAGTCGTATTTAATAAAATTTGATTCGGAATAAAGTTGAATTTTACATTATTTGCTAGCCAAGAACCATGTTTTGCGCTTGCGGGGGACTTTGTTTATATGAATCATCTTTGTTGTTCTCAATTTTGATTCAAAGTCTTTTGAACTAGAGTTTCCATTTTGGGTACTTTTGGCTTTAAAAATATAATTTGCATATGACTTAAACCGTTTTTCTCAGAAACGAAAAAAATACATTTGCTAAGAATGAATCATCTTAGTTTTTCCTCTAAAGCTGTAGGCTAATATTTTCAGCTTCAACTAGATTTCCCACTCTCAATTTCTGTGGCTTTTCTTGCCACATGAATCATGCTACTCGTCTTACAAATTATTTATTCGAAGCTGATTTGGCCGCAAATCGGCATGGCTTTCGGTTGCTGGACATTCAACACTTGAACTAGATTTTCCTCAGTCGATTTCTGTGGGCTTTGAAGCCTTTATGATTCATGGCACCCATCCCCCAGGCGGAAGTAGCTGCATAATCAAATGGAATACGTGGAAATAGCCAAATGGAAATCCATCACAACATGCACTCCCCAGCGAGTATGCAAAAACACTCCCCGAAAAAGATTAAAAACCAGCAAATCGGAACCAACCCAACTGAGCCAAAAAACAAATACGATCCACATGATTCGGGCATGGGATCGATTTGAAAGGCTATGGGCTTCATTAGCTCTTTGTTCGTGCTCAGAATGCAGGCAAACAAAAAAATCATGTACAATTTCCTCGCTTCATTTATCATCTCTGGTAAATTTGGAGCGAACTGTGATCGTAATTGAAGTGGGTTTTAATTAAAAAGTGAACTGTGATCGGGCGAAGGTCACCAACAATGGGGAATTATGATTGCTTTGTTTCTAGCATTTTGCAGAGTTCTTTGTTCAACTCCATTTTTTGGGGTCAGCCGAGCAATTTTAGGTTGCGTAAGTTACAAAAGGGGCTCCATAAAGTGGACGAAGAGGCTGCGGGGGCGGTGGTTGCGCAACAGAAAGAAACTCTTTACGTTTTTCTTGTTTTTTGTTACCGTTTCGTCGGGCAGACGGAGCAACTAACGACTGACTATAAAGTAAACAAAATTGCGCGCCAAGGAAAACGTGATTTTCCACTTTTGATCGCGCCCAAAAGGAGTTCGCCTCGTCGGGAGTCATCTCATTCGATTCTCACGTAACCAAAGACTTTGCAGCAGCAGCCGCAGCGGCGGCAACAGCAAATGCATCGGCAACATATGTTGCAGAGTCCAACCGGTTGGTTAAACTGGCAGCCCCAGCTCCCAAATCGGGCCAACAAATTTCATTGAGAGTTCGGCCCCGCCGGTGGCCACTTTTACTCTCGTTTTGGCCAAACACAGCGGAAACAGTCGCAATAATTTGCTCGCAGTTTATTTCGTTGCGTTAGCCGATCCAATAAATCTCCATCTGCTCGCACGGAGCTTGTAGATACTCGCAGTTATGGGCACTTCGACTCGGACACGCGAATATCTCACAAATGGACGGCAATTTGCAACGATTTTTTTTTTGGGGAGTGGAGGGTTGTATTTTGTTAGATTATGTCATTGGTTTTTGGGTGGAAATTCAATTAGCTTTGGGAGATAATAATTTCAGAGCAAGAAATTGTTTGTTAGTTATGAAAAGGTTTAAAATAGTATATTCCAAATTTTTTGGAGTTTAATAACCTTATGGTAATTGTGACATATTTATTTCATGTTCCGTTTATATCATTTGTTTTAAACATTCCAAAACAATAATTTTTGTATCCATGACTAATGCATTTTTTCTTTTTAAGTTCAAAGTATTATGTTTCAAAAAACTCTTAGTGATGTCATTTTAATTTTTAATAATTGTCATAAATATTTTGTTGATCTGTTCCCAAAAAAGTACTTGTGTGGGAAAAATGAGAAAGTGCATTTCTGTGGTGATGTAATTTGTGACTCCTTAACATTTGATTAATAGCTAAGTTTAGTTAGGTGACAGGTAAAGCCATAAATCAATTATATTATATGCATTTATACAATATCATAAAGAGAGGCTAACAAAAATCCCACTTTAAAGGAAGTTCATTCTTTGCGGTTCAATTATTTTTATTATTCCGAAAAGTGTCTCAACAGCAATTAATTAAAGCGCCATAAATTGCGTCGAGCCAAGACGTACATACTCGTATAATAAGCGAGTAACGAGCACGAAATTAAAATAAAAATGTCAGCGGCAGCCGAAATTGGCCAGTAGACTTGGCTCAGAGAGCTGCTCCACCCACACCAAAAAAACCCCTCCTTCGAGGCAATGGAAATTTATGACGGAATGCTGAAAGTAATTGAAGCGTAAATGATTAAACGTGCGGGTGGCTCATACATTAGAATAATTGCCAGAAGTATTATTGTTCGAGCTCCAACCTTAACCATGAATGCGGACAAAGCCGAGTAATGGTAATGCCAATCCCCCAAGTAAAGCCAAATCGAGTCATCTGCATTACGCATACGCCACGTGAACCGGTTCGATAGGCCACTGTTTTTATTAATTCAGCTGCTGCTGCTGCTGCTGCTGTGGAAAACACTTTCACATACTGCATTTCCGCACGCGGCCTGCTGAAATGTTGCACAACCGCATCTTGTGCCATTGATTCCTCTTTGGCCAGTGTCACCTTGACTCTGAAAGGTGCCACACACTGTGGGAAATAGTGGAGGAGAAAGAGGCAACATTACGACAAACAAAAAAAACCATAATTATTGAAAATGAAAATGTTCTTTTTTTTTAATAATATTATTTTTTTATTTATAATTTTATTAAAAACTTGTTTAGTTTTTTTATTCAAATAATTAATACAATCATTTGTTTGGCATAAAATATACATGTTGAACAAATTTATAATTTTTATTGATTGATTAGAAATTACAGCAGTCGTGTATAGCTTCAGATTTATTGAATATCTTTCTAAATTAATGTGTACCTTCTTATATTGAGATTTAATGATTCATTGCATTCTTTTTCATGCAATACTATTTTTTATTAGAGATTTGTTAAAACAACTATTTTGTTTTTACCGAAAACCAATTGTGGGAAATTACCAAATAACCGTTTAAGGGGATTTTAATTATTTGACTATAAATAAATATAATACTCGTGTAATTTTGCTTTATGCACCAGAGTTGCCCCACCGGAAAGCCGGTAACTGATTTGACGACTGCCTGTTTTGGTTTGGGGCAGCTGCCGGCGGATGTGATTAGTTAGAAATACCCAATCCCAATCCTCCCCACAACTTATAGACACTTTCCTTTGCTTTTCAGCTGGCTCTGGTGGCCCTGGCAGCGGTTGTTTCTGGCAGCCAGACTCCAAGTGCGAATCAATACCACATCCAGACGGACGAGGGACCGGAGCGGTACTTCCGCTTCCAAACGGACAGCGGTCAGTTCCGCAAGGAGAAGCGGCTGCAGGATGGCACCGTCATCGGTGAGTGATTAAATGCATTTACGGATAGAGAGTTCATTGAACCTCTTAATTGCTATATTTATTTCTACAGGCACTGAGGCCTGGATCGATGCAGCGGGCTATCTGCGCCAGAAGGACTACATAGCCGACAAGGAGGGATACAGGATACTCAAGTCCAAGACCATTTATGTGGGCCTTGGAAGAGCTGTTGAGGTAAAATAAAATACACAAAAAATGGATACAAATTCGAAATCTTAAAAAATAATAACAGTCAGATACAATCAGTGGCTTTTAAGCATATTAAAAGCTTTTACATAATGTATTACTCGATTTTATTGTTCAGATAACTTAATTTTGCTTTAGGTTTGATAATTTTGAAACCTTTTATAGTTTTCAACAAGTAATAATTTAGAAACAATGATAACAAATAATTAAATAAATAATTCCAATTGAAAATAATTCTATTAAAACAATTAAGTAGAAACTCCAAACACTCTCTTAAAAAATGGTTCACAGCATGAAAATTTAAATTAATATGATATAAACGGCTAAGAACTTTAACCTTTAGGGGCCTTAAGAGCTCTATTTGCCAATTTATTTATTTTAATACAAATCTTTGGTAAGAATTATTTTAGTTATTTTGAAAATATTTTTCAATCCATAAATTATATTATATTATTATTTTGTTTAGGATGCCATTAAATCCACCAAGGCAGCTCCTGCGCAATCGGGGGTCTTGGTCCATGGCGGCTCCTCAGGATCTTCGGCCAACAGTTTGGGCAGCTATCAGCGTCCCAACTATGGCTACATATCCAGCACCACATCCACCACCACTCCCGCTCCCGTACAGTCATCTCTTCTGGACATTGTGGACTCGGGCGTGGGAAAACTGAATTACTTGCCACCCGAACAGGCTGCCAAAATTTTGCCGCAATCACAACTCGGATTCGATCACTATCCGGATGAATTGCCTCGGGCCAGCGGTCAGCTTTTGTCGCCTCTGCCAGCCACGCCCCTTAATCCGCTGGTGGATATTCACCCCAATGCTGAGCCTGTCCAGGACTTGGAACTGAATGCCATCAATGTGTACGATGCCGAGGCGGATCGCTCTTTTGGCCATGGCCAATTTGGATCGGTTATAAGTTCCACCACGGCCAGACCACCTTCGCTGGACATGCTGCCGCCTTTGAGTGCCCACAGGCGACGCCTGCGTCCGCGTCCAACTCCTGCTCCCATAGCCATTGTTTCCAGTACCCCAGCACCCATTTCTGGAGGGGATCTGTATGGCTACTCCTCGCCGCAGCCCTTTGTCGCCCCTGCTCCCTATCAGTTTGCCCCGCCGGCCAGTTCCTCCAGCACCGGATACGGGTACTATCCTCCGCCGCAGTCGCCACTGGAGGTCAACTCGCTGGAGGCGGCTCTGCTCCCGCCCCTGCCCTCCGCCCATGGCTACCGAAGGCGCCTCCGGCCAAGGCCAGTCCAGGGCAACCATCTGGAGGGATTGGCCGCCTCCGAGTACGATGGCGTGGGCACCACGCGCAATGGCTTCCGCTACGTGCTGCCCAAGCAGTATCACGAGGAGGAGACCAATCCGGCGGACGGCAAGCGGGCGGGCAGCTTCGGCTACGTGGATCCCTTCGGCATCCGGCGGGTGGTCTACTACAATGCAGCTCCTGGGCGGGGATTCGTCCATCGGAACAACAATCAGTTTGTGGGCGCCAATGGAGCGCCCTACGATGCTCCGGGTCCAGCGCAGCTGGTCAACGAATAGAGATAAGGGAACAGGATCATTGATGGAGGTTAGTGTGGGTCGATCTCTGGGGCAAACAGTTATGGGGATCATACTAGCTGAGGATCTAGGGAAATTACCTTTGGAATCTATAGATTTGATATGATTTTTTTGAATCGTGATTACGCATACTTTTAATCAAATTATTAGAAACTGAAAACATTGAAATATTCATTCCAGTCTTCAAAGAAAATTATTTTAAAATAGAATTATTTTAAATGCATGTAAATATTTAATATTTATTAGAAATTCTCAAAGATCTGAGATAATAGTTTCAAAGGAAAAGTAATGAAAGTTTTTAATATAATTATCAAATTTTTACTTTTTATCAATTTGTTAGAAACTGAACCAATTAAAATATCCATTGAAATCTTAAAAGAAAGATGCAAGATGTAATAGTTAAAGTGGATGTTTATTTATTCAACATTCATTAGAATTTTATTAGAATTTTCAATATAAGAACTATAGTTTCATTGGAAAAGCTACTGGAATTATTCAAAAGATCTGTTAGAACTTGATACCCTGTAGTCCAGAAATCGACCCATGCTAATGCAGGTGCTGCACTTAACCCGACTCCCGACTCACTCAATGAGGCACCAAAACTAACCGTAGAACCTCAGCCAGGGGAAGTCCCCCTCTTACGATTAACCTGTACATATTACCACGCTTAAATCTTCACCTTCTCAAGAACCCACTTCTATCCTTTCTCTTCTGCACGCACACACAAAGAAAACGACATCTGTGTTAATTAATTTAATGCTTAATCACATCTAAATGTAACATTATTTATAAATCGAAACTATGTGCAATTAGCGCTTAGCATAGGTATTTTAGGGGTACTCACTGCCAAAACAAATGAAATTGTGCAAGTGATTGGGGAGAAATCGTTTCACGTATTAATCTTGCCATATTAACGAAAAGTAAATAATATATCAAAGTCCTCTGTTCATCCCAAGAAACTCCCCTTTCGCCCCTTAGCGTAATTAAACCGATTAAAAGATAGCCTTTCTTGGCCAATAGCTGTTCATTTGGTAGGAATGAACACCCGTTGCCTGGAAATTTTAGCCAAGTAGTGCGAACGATTATTTTGTGTAGTGTTAAGAAGTTTGAAAATAATAAAAATAATTATTTAAATGAAAAACATCCACATTTGATGTGTTTTGTTTTGTTAAAAAAGGGAAATTCAATTAAATTTTCAGAAAATCGATGTTAAATTGGAGTTCAAAGAGGTATGCAAATTTTTTCAATTTTTCTGGCAAAATACTGATTTTTTTAGAAAAGTAGTAAACTTCTCCAAGTTTAAGATTATATATGCTTGCAGCTATCCAAAACATGTAATATTCCTTAAAACAAGAATATTTCCATTTGTACTCATAATTTTCCGTGTAATATTTTTTGGACTCTGATCAGTTATTCATTTCCCTATAAAAGTTACAATTTAAAGCAGCCTGTGCGCAAAGCTTCAGTTCGGTGACACTGTTCGGTTTCGATACTTCATAATCACACCGATATCGTTGGGAACACAAACCCGATTGAAACCTTATCAGCGCGACAAACACATAACCCGGCGAATCTTATCGCGAAGAGCTTCCCAAACAACGTTAAAAAGTGAATCAGTTGTGGGAAGAAAGTGGAGCGATGAAGGGCTTGATTTTGCTCCCGTTGTTCCTCTTTTTGGGCAGTTTGTGCCCCTCGGAGGCGGCAAATATCCTGTGCCTGGTGAGCACCGCGAAGCACAATAATCCCGGTTGGTCGAAGCCCCTCTTTGATGCCCTGGTGGCCAAAGGTCATACATTGCTGGTGATTAGTACCGCTCCCAATCCGGAGCCAAAGAAGCAGGTGGATGGTCTGTTGTACTACCACCTGCCCAACGATTACGATGTGATGAAGAAGCACTTCATCCGCGAGGACACCAAGGAGTACCAGGAGATGGTGACCCTCAAGCAGCTGCTGGTGTGGTACGAGGTCCTTTTGGGCAGCTGTCGTGCCGTCCTCAACTCGAATGCCATGAATAGCATGATGCCCGAGTTGACCGCCCAACTGGCCGTGGACTTTGATCTGATAATCACCGACATCACCCACGGAATAGAGTGTCTGATGGACGCGGTTCCCATATGGCGTTCCAAACCGATTCTCGGGCTGAGTGCCGGCAAACTCACCCCGGATCTGATCTCCCTGATTCAGGCGGAGAACACGATTAACCCGGCCAGGACACCACATTATATCAGCCAAGTGCCCAAGAAGATGGGCTTCTGGAATCGCCTACACAATCACATTATGTTCTATGCAGAGCCACTGTGAGTTCTTTATCTAATCCGATTATATCATGTCTTTAAAGTAGTTGTTTTTATCATAATACCCAGCATTCGCTTCGTGATCGTTCGGCCAGTGCTCAATGGCCTGGTGACCAACGAAAATGCCTTTCCCACTTTACAACTGGTACTGCTTAACACACATCCAACCTTGGACTACGTTCAAAATCTTCCACCAGGCGTAATCGAAGTGGGTGGTCTCCACATCAAAAGCAAGGTCGATCCTCTGCCCACTTATATACAGGAATTCACTGAGAAATTCAGCGATGGCATTGTATACATAAACATGCCCTATATTGAGTATATGAATGGCCAGGGAATTAAGGCTGTAACCGAGATGATACTTAACAATCCCAACTGTGGGTTCATTTGGAATGTGGAGCAGCTGGAGCAGATCCCAGCCGATATTTCTAATTTAATAACACTTCATGTGGATCAGTCACTGCAGCAGGATATATTAGGTAAGGCTTTCAAGGCTAGCAACATTTATAAGGATTTAAAATAATTTCTCTGTTAAATGTATAGGTTTGTCATCTCTAAAGGGCTTCCTGAACCATGGTGATAGTTTCAGTCTGCAGGAGGCTGTTCATAATGGTGTGCCCGTGGTTGTGCTACCCCTCAAACTGGAGGAGTTTAATGTGAGTTAACCTAAAAAAATCTAAACAATTTATAATATTTAATTATATATGCTGGTTTTCTGCAGAATGCCCAGCGAGTATTGGAACGCAAGTTAGGAGTGGTGGTTCAGGCCAGCGGATTCAATAAGAAGTCCCTGGCTATCGCTCTAAAGCAAGTCCTGAATGATGAATCAATCAGCAGTGCCCTCTACCAGGCTCAGTTGAAATTCCGGACCCGTCCGCAATCCCCTCTAGAATTGGCAGTATGGCATGCCGAACAACTGATCGCCGAACCTCGCTTCTACAAGGATTTTGCCCAGACTGAGGCCCTAGCCCAGAACTTCATTGTGGCCCATTCCGTGGATGTGATTGTGATTCCAGTCCTTATCATCCTGGCTGTGGCCGTAAACGTAGGTCACTTGGTCATAGTCCTATTCACCAGGGGGTCCAAGGGTCAGCAGGATCCTATTCTGGATGAGGAATCCAAAAGTGAGGTGCCTAAAAAGCGCAAAAAGCTAAAGAAAATTTCCAAGAGTTGCGCACCAACGAATATTACACTTAAAGAATCTGCCACCGATTCGGTTAAAGATTTAAAAGATGAGATATTCGAAAGGGAGAAGGAGCTTCTACTCCAAGAGGAAGAAAAGCCTTCGCTGGAGAAAAAATATGACTAATCAAATTGCTTTATATTCTCACTATTTCCATGTAGAACACAATGCCAAAGAAAGACTGCCAATAAATAAAATTAAACAATCTTCACAACATTGACATATTCATTTGGCTTAACTCCTTTTCGGGCATTTAACCTACTAAACTACATTTAAATTGTATGAAATTTCTTGCGGGGCTTCCAAATTCGGATAAAAGTCCATTAAAATGCTAATCGAATAATAAGTTGAGAAATCATGTAAGGCAAAATTTTAAGCTTGCTCATCATTATTTGTTGATATATTAAATCTGGTTGGTACCAAGGTTTAAAAGAATTTTAAGACATTTTTAATAAATCTCATTATTCAGTACAAAATCATTTGGTATTTGCTTTAAAGTAAAAACTAATGTTTTTTTGTATATCAAAAAAAGCTTAGGTTTTCTAGAAATCTTTTACTGCTTAAGATATTTTTGATTTCGATTAAATTCTTTTTAAAGCAAAGAATTTAATTTATTTAATATTTTGTACAAATATATCATTAACATATACATTTTCTTAAGCATCCCAAAAGTATACTATTCCATACACTTCATTCTTTTTGACTCTCTTAAATAGCAAAGAGTGAAAACTACCTAAGAGAATGGCATTTCAGGTAAGTCCATCGGATACAGATTCACCACAGGTAGTCACGATCTTCAGTCCCGAGTGCGTTTTTTTTGTCTTTTGCCAAAATGCTGAGCCAGCAATAAATACCTTCGAGCCCACGTAGCCTTCAGTGCATTTGTAGAATTTGCCGCGAAAAGAATATATAACCGAGAGAAAAAAAAATGCTGACCAAACTGTTGAAGATTAGCTGCACTTCGAGGCAGTGCACCTTTGCCAAGCCCTTTCAAGCGATTCCCGGACCACGAGGACCTCTGGGCATGGGCAACCTCTACAACTACTTGCCCGGAATCGGATCGTATTCCTGGCTGAAGTTGCACCAAGCCGGACAGGATAAGTACGAGAAATATGGTGCAATCGTCAGGGAGACCATCGTGCCCGGCCAGGATATAGTATGGCTTTACGATCCCCGGGACATCGCATCGCTGCTCAACGAGCGGGATTGCCCGCAGCGAAGGAGTCACCTTGCATTGGCCCAGTATCGTAAAAATCGACCGGATGTCTACAAGACCACCGGCTTGCTGCCCACCAATGGTCCCGAATGGTGGCGTCTGCGTGCCCAGCTGCAAAAGGAGCTGAGTGCCCCGAAAAGTGTGAGGAACTTCGTCTGCCAAGTGGATGGAGTGTCCAAGGAGTTCCTCAGATTCCTACAAGAGTCGCGGGAGCGAGATGCCATCGACATGCTGCCCAAACTCACCCGATTGAATTTGGAATGTGAGTACAGATCATCATCATCAAAATAAATGAAATATTCAAGCAAGTATTTGAAAAGCAAATATTCGAATGTGGCAATTTCCCGTTCATTTGAATTTCTTGGACAAGGTTTTTTTGTTAAAGTACCGTTCCCAACTTTATGATAATGGCACTATTTTAATTTACATATTTTTCCAAATATGTTACAACTAACTGGTGACTTCAAAATTGTGATTTTATAAAGGATTGAATTTATCAAAATTTGTTTAATAAATATTCTATTACGTTTTTGTAATTCAAACTCAACCCAGTTGCTTCTATAAATACTGTTCGAGGATCAATGATAAAATCAGTTTAGTTTTGTAAGTCAAAGTGCTAACATGTACTGCTCAATATATTAAATAGACTCAAGACTTACTTCAGGATTCGTTGGTATGGAAAGTAGTTTAAAGTTCTGAAAAATATTTGTAAGCTTATGCTAGGGATTGTATAAATTTATATTAAATATTTTTAATAAATATTATATTTTAGTAACCTGCCTGCTAGTTTTTGGAGCCCGTCTGCAGTCGTTTTCTCCCGAGGAGCAAGATCCTAGGTCCCGATCCACCCGCTTGATGGACGCAGCGGAGACCACCAATAGCTGCATCCTGCCCACCGATCAAGGTCTTCAACTATGGCGCTTCCTGGAGACCCCCAGCTATCGGAAACTGAGCCAGGCCCAATTCTACATGGAGGGCGTGGCCCTGGAACTGCTGGAGGAGAACATAAAGAACGGCTCAGTGGGACCCTCACTGATCTCGGCTTACCTTAAGAATCCAGAGCTGGATCGTAGCGATGTGGTCGGCACCGCTGCCGATTTGCTCTTGGCTGGCATCGATACCACCTCCTATGCCTCGGCATTCCTGCTCTATCACGTGGCCCGGAATCCGGAGGTCCAACAGCGACTCTACGAGGAGGCCAAAAGAGTGCTTCCCAATCCCAAGGAGCAGCTGTCTATGGATGCCCTCAGAACGGACATCACATATACGAGGGCTGTCCTCAAGGAATCCCTGCGCTTGAATCCCATCGCCGTGGGAGTGGGTAGAATACTTAACCAGGATGCGGTCTTCAGTGGTTACTTTGTTCCCAAGGGGGTAAGTTTTGCACTTACAGCAGATTAGTTACACAATATTTGCTTATTTGAGATACCAAAACAACTTCTATTTCAACAGTGAAAATATAGATAAACATTTTTAAGTTTCAAAAAAAAAATTAGTTAAACTTCCCTAAGCCTTATAAATTTTTAATTTGATTAAGCAGTTTGTTTCACAGATAAATGAGTAGCATATCCCAATCAAATCCAAAGGTTTTTAAATTTAAATATTAATTATAACATTTTGGATTCGATGCTCAGATAATTTTTTTTACTGTTCCATTATTTTATCAGTGTATTTCTGAATATTATTTAAATACAAAACTAATATAATAAATAATTTTTTACCAGACCACTGTGGTGACCCAAAACATGGTGGCCTGCCGCTTGGAACAGCACTTCCGGGATCCGCTTCGCTTTCAGCCGGATCGGTGGCTCCAGCACCGGAGCGCCCTAAATCCCTATCTAGTTTTACCCTTTGGCCATGGAATGCGGGCCTGCATTGCCCGTCGTTTGGCCGAGCAGAATATGCACATACTGCTCCTCAGGGTGAGAAATCAAAAACGGATCAACACTTTGCGGTGTGTAACTTATGGCACATTATTTATTCCATATTTTAGCTGCTGCGTGAATACGAATTGATTTGGAGCGGATCTGAGGCAGAGCTGGATGTCAAGACCCTGCTAATAAATAAACCTGATGCTCCAGTGCTGATTGAGCTGCGATCGCGTACCGAATAAGTTTTAGATATAATAGATACCAGAGGAAAGAGACTGAGAGACAACAGACTTGTGTATCACTTTTAAATAATTCGTTTATTAATTATATTAAATTAGTTTATAATTATAGTAAGTGTAAATTATATATAACTAGACTTGCATTTAATGTGATTGAAAGGCTGCGGGTGTTTTGGTCTAAGTACTAAAGAGAACGACAAAAAGGCATTCATCGAAAATTCTTCCAAATGGGGTATACTAGATAGGGTTGCCGAATACTTGAGCATGTGTCTTGGGATGTCATCCCAAAAAAAAAGAATTTATAATTTGTTAACCAGATATTTTCCTTCGAGTATTTTGTGCTCTTTTGTTTGTATACACGTTTTGCAGTATAATGACAACCCATTCCGGGGCTTAAATGTGTAATTATGTAATGACTAAATATTCCAGTACAATGCTTAGTTGAAGATATACTCCTAATGCAGATCGTTACTATATATGGCTCTATAAAAGTGGTCCGACTAAGCCCCTTTGCTCCTGTTTTCCCCGCTTGCCCTAAGCTCAACTCGAGTGAAAACCATTCATATATAAACTATATAGACTACTACCTGTGTTTCGCTCTCGTCCAAGTTCAAGTTCAAGTCAAAAATATATATATTTATGTGTGTGGGGGCTATATACTGATACACGTACGATTCTAGTCTGATCTAACCTATAAGGACTTTGGTTGTTTGCCGCACTACACGCTAGGATGATTGGTGAAAAAATACATCTAGATATACACATACTTTGAACTCCACTTCTGCAATGTTCGAAAAATAAATGTTTGTGGGGCCTGTTTTGGGCTTTTAAATTCAGTAAATTCTTTCGATTTCAAATAGTTCGTTTTAAAAAACAAAGTTTTGTTAATTTTTTAATACATCTTTGTGCCTAAATTATTTATGAATCTTCATAGATATAAAATATATCAAGTAAAAGATTATCTTTGATTTGAATTCGAAATGAATTTAAAGAGAAAACCAAAACAGCCCTTGAGTTCTTTGCTGATTTGTGAGAAGACTTTTCCAGGAAGCGATTCGAGTCTTCTGCCCCATGGCTATCGTTGAATATGTGTTCGATGAAGGATGAGATATGGGTGCGGTTGCAAGTCCTGCTGCCAGCGCTCAGTTTATAGCTCCAGCAGCAGAACCTCCTCATGCTAGAGGATGTTGAGCAGGGAGGAGTCCATCATCCGATCGTCGTACAGGCTCAGGGTCTTGCTGGCCCTGGCCTTCCTCACGGATGCTGGCACATCGCCGGGCGTTTTCACCCGCTCGCTGGGATCCCTCAACCGCTCGCTGCTCCCCCGACCGCTGAAGACCTCGCGGAACACCTCCAGGCTGTGCTGGCGGCGCATCTGCTGCTCCGTGGGCGGCGGACCCTGACCCGTGCCGCTGGTGGTGGTGGTGGCCATCAGGGAATTGGTGCGCAGGTGGCCGGGTCTTCGCTTCGGAGCCGGACGGCTGAGGGTCTGCAGTTCGCTGCCATGGCTCTGGATGGAGTTGTTGTTGGTGCTGCCGTTGATGTGCTTGATCAGGCTGCTGGACAGCGAGCGTGGCACAATGTGGGCCGGAGTGCCCGTCCGCTGCTCGGCACTCCGCAGCTGAACCGTGGGCATGGGCTTGTCCACCAGTCGTGGACTCAAGTCCAGGTTGTTGGGTCGCCGCAGGGCCGTCACCAGATTGGACTTCTCCTCGCCCAACTGCAACTGGCGGCACAGCTCCTCGGCATGCTCCTTGCGGAAGAGCTTCTTGTGGATCAAAGCTCGAACGCCATGCCATCCCCTTAGCTTGTGGTCCGTGTTCTGCTGCTTGGGAAATCCCTGACCCAAGTTGGAATTGCTATTCCCACTCGCGGTGACAATCGTGTTCTTCTGATGATGATGCTGCTGCTGCTGCTGCTGGTGATTGTGATGGCTGGCTATCAGCTCCTCCACACTCACATCGTGCTCCAGGCAGGATAGAGAGTTCTCCTGCGGCTGTGTCTGGAAACTGTGCTTCTTGCTGCGCTCCACGAGCACAGGGGGCGTTCGCAGTGGCAGGGGAGCCAGGTTGCGTTCCTGGCAGGGATTCCGGCCCTGATACGGTTGCAATTGCTGTTGCGGGTAGCTCAGGTGGTTCTTCTCCCGCTCCAGGGCGGCCAGAGGCAACTGCTGATTGGGCGGTGGCTGTATGAGTCCGCTGGCATCCGAGCTCATCTGGTGATGCACTGCAGCCGCCGTTGTCGTTGTGGTTATGACATTTAGGGTCTGCAAAGTAAGAGAAATATTAGTTATTTGTAAGACATTTGTGGTACATTTTCCCTACCTGTTCGGCATTGGTGGTGGCCACCAGATTGTTTGTGTTCAGCAATGGACTGGCGGGTTGAGCCTGGGCTCTTGGCCTCAGACCCGACATCTCCTGCATCCGCTCCTCGGCGCACAGCGAGGTCAACCTGGCATCCGCATCATGGTCCCAACAGTCCTCGCAGGTATCACGCACCACTTTGGCGGCTGCACCACCGCCCCAGCCAGCGGGAAACAGAGGACGCGCCTTGTGCCGCACCACCAGTGCCTGCATCTGGTCGAAACTGGGATGGGAGCCCACCTCCTGCTCGTAGGGCGCCTTGTACGGTGGCGTCACTTGTCCGGGGGCATAGAAATCCGAGCAGCGGGTGGAAACCTCCCAGAGCACCAGTCCCAGGGCATAAACATCCATTTGTTTCAGTGATGTCTCGCAATCTCGTAGATTTACAGCTCCCTCCAGCAATTCGGGAGCCATGTAGCGCAAGGTGCCCACCTCATTGATGCTCTTCGTCTCGGCCATGGCCACCTCGCCCTTGTACTCGTACTTGGAACCAAACACCTTCAAGGCAAAGCCAAAATCTGCAATACAACAGCTCAGATCCGCCTGGACGAGCACGTTCCGGGTATTGATGTCGCGATGGGCCACACATGGCTTGTGCTGATCCCCCAGCCGGAGTTCCGTGTGCAGGTGGGAAATACCACGTGTAATGGATCGCAGCATGCCACAGCATTGGCTGAAGGTCAAGGTGTTGGCTATCAGCCAATCCTGGAGGCATCCCAGGGGAGCCAGCGAAAGTACCAGCTGGTATTCCATCCGTCCGTCCATCGTGCAGCGTTCATCGTAGCCTTTAAGGTGGATTAAACATGACAAAATAAATTATATATATTATATAAGTATTCTTAACTAAAAAAAAACCCCCAGGATCAATTAACATACCAAAATAACTCAATAGCGCTGGACATTCCATCAGAGGCAGTGCGTAGATGTTCCTCTCGTTCACATAGTACTGGTGATGCTCCTCGGGATAGATCTTGACTGCCACCTCCTGATCGTGGAGCAGTCCCTTCATCACAGTGCCATACTTGCCACTGCCCAGCATGCCGATCAAATTCATGTTGTCCACATTGCGAAGATTGGAGCTGTAGCCAGGGCCCGATGGCGCCAGAGGCGACTCCTCCGGCTCCGGTTTCTCCTTGGCTGTCCGGCAGTACTGAACGGCCAGGAAGATGCCAATCATGAGGGCTGTGAGGACGCCGGCCAAGCCCAGCATTGTGCTGGCCAAAAAGGATTGATGCTGCTTGGCAGTGGCCCGATTTGTAATCGAATTCCTCGCTTCATTGGAGCCCAGTTCCAGGGGAGCAGGTTCCACCACGGCGTACTGGGCATTGCACACATCCCCCGAACAGCAGCAGTAGTACAACGAACTGGTGGTGGTGGTGGGTGCCGAACTAGTGCACTCCGACTGGCTGCAGATCGAGGGGCGATCAGTATTGTCCTTCCAGCAACCTGAGAAAAAGGGATTCACACCCAGGAATAAGTATCTAAATTATGATTTAATAAAATCCCTAAAACTCACCCTGCTTGACAACTCTGGTGCCATTGGGCGACTGGTTCCAGAGGGTAAAGCAAAAGGTATAGCCATCGGAGCAGGTGCGTCTATGTGGTTCGCTGGGCACCGGAGTGGACTCAATCTGCTGCTCCTGCACTTCGCCACTCGAGTCCTGATCGCCATCATCATCATGCAGGTAGTTGTCATTCTCCTGGAAGCTCATACAGCTATACTGGCGACTGGGAACAGGTGCTAATACAAATTCAAATACAATTTGATTCATAAATATTCCATTGATAAGCATAGTCTAAGAAGTACTCACATGCACTGCCCAGTGAGATCAGGGCCAAAAGTAGCCAAGGCCAGCTATAGATAACCCAATTCATGTCTGTAATTCTTCAATAGACGAACTTCTAGATGATATTAACTGGCTCACTTTGATTGCCCAACTGCTAGCCAATGTTACGGCATTTTGTACAACCTGAAATTGCTAAAAGATCGTAAATGTTTATAAATCTTGGACTTCTTGCCTTCTTAATGAATAGCAAGTATTATCAATAGTCTGCGACACACTCGTCATTACTCTCACGTTCCGTTTGCGTATCAAAAGGCGATGATGACAATTCGCAAGCTCAGCGACTTTATCAACTGCCACAACTGCCGACGATAATGGCCAGACCCAAATACTCGCACAATTCCACCAACACCAATCCCAACCCCAAAGACGAACAGAACCGATCACGAAGTGTCTCCGTCGAAGTCTCTATGGATCACAGGGGGTCGGGGGAACTACGGGGAATAACATGGGGAAGCTACGAGCACCCACCCACTCCAAGTCTCCGGGGAACTGTTGCACTTTGGAACCCATTTGGAACCAGGCGCCGCCAGAATAAGCAAATTCATTTCAGTTGTGCTTCGAGTGCAACCAAGAGGATCTCGACTGGTTAATACCCATGTCAAGTAGAACAAAAATGGAGTGGATCAATTTATATTGTATTTTAAAATTTTAAAATATAAAATAATATTTTAAAATATAAAATATATAAATAATCATCTCCAACAGTATTAAAATATCTGTTGTAAATTAGACCCACTTTATCTTCACATTACTCTATACCTTATATACCCCTCAAGTTAGAGGTATTTAAACACGCATTTCCTAAGTCTCGCCTCCTCCAACTTTTCCCCTTGAAAGCTGATTAGAAAATTTTGCCAGCATTAATTATGTGTCTGGGTCTAACTTATTACGCTCTAATCCTCTCTAATTATAGGGCACGTACGTAAGTGAATATGTCTCATACACAAGCAAATAAGAAATGTGCTGGTAACGAATTTGCATTTGCGAAATTTGGGTTAATGTGTGTGACGAGGCATGAAATTTAAACCAAGATAAGCATTTTATCAGACACACCAGGATACACTTATCACACGACAATAAAATCTGCGTGTGCTATCTACAGCACTTATTTATGGCGCTTTCAATTCATGAATTTATTTTTTTAATGAATTAAGAATCAAAGAAAAAGGGTGTATCTCACTCTTTTGCATTTTATTGATAACGTTTTCAACTAGAGATGGGTCGTGAAGTGATTATTAATTCTAGGATCGCATATTTTTCCCATACATTTTCAAAACATTTCTTTCGCAGCTAAATTGAAGTAGTCCTTGTGTAATTTATAAAATTTGGATATTGGATGCTTGAAATAATAGTGAACTATTATACAGACAGTAATATTGTACATTTGGAACAACTTATATATATACTTTTGAAAACAAAACATAAACGTTTCCTAATGTTAAAAGAAAAGTAACATTAGGTTTTTATATTAAATTATATTGATAAATTGTTAAACGGTTGCCAAAATCTTAATTACAAGTACACTTTGTGTTACTTATCAGAAGTAACATTTTTATTTCGTTTTTCGTTTCGGTATTGTACTCAAGTATAAGCGTCTTACTAAAAAAAAACCAAAATAACCCTATTTCAATATGATTGGCATAGTGTGGTGGCTTTTGCCTTGGGCCTGGCTGCCTGTGATTGTTATTTTCTACATTTACAAGCAGACGTATCCTCGTGCTAGCAAGAAACAGGACATCGCAGGCGATTCTAACGAGAAGTCGCCACTTGACAACCCAGAAGAAAATTTGGAATCAAATTTTGTATTTCCAGAAGTGGATGAAACCGTCACTGATCAGGATTTGCGTGCAAAGCAGATCGGGGTTGTCTTGCAAGGGATAAACAGGCAATTAGAGATTCTCGACCAGAAGTGCTTGCCAAGGAATACTGAAGAGCGCCTTAAAACAATGGAAAAGCGGAAGCTGCGTCGCAGGCTGCGATCCCTGCAAAACAGTTCCGAATACGATAAATGATGCACTAGCTTCAATATACATAACTACACACCTACATGGATTTCATAATACTCAAATTTATTCCACCAATATAATTTTAAGAGGCGCTATCTCTGCTCCCTCCGCCCCTCAACTTTTGTTTCTGTTTTCTTCGCCTTTCTCCACTTTTGGCACATGCGCAGAAGAGAGTCCGAGAAGAAAGAGAGCGGAGACTCTGTCGCGCCAAAACAGGTTCTACTGACGCTGTCTCAAGTGCCCCGCAGAAGGGGGCGAACCGCAGGGCAGGGGGAGAGGGACCCGCCGGGCGCTCTCGCACGATAGCCAACGGCGCCAGTTAATTGCAAATACTGCTTGATACCTTACATGTGGTAGGGCATAGCTGAAAGACCAGCAAGCCCAAGTGGAAATATTTTAATAATTTTATTTATTTAATGAGCAATAAAATATTACAACAATGCGTGTTGAAGAACTTGAAAACACTAAACAACATTTATTACAAAAACAGTCGATTTCGAAACGACAACCAAAATTAAAGAGCATTGTACATATAGAATTTCTGGAAATATAACCAAATAAATACCTAACAAAGATATAAAGTAAAAATAAATGTTAAGTATCCAATCCTCAAATCAATTATTTAAGATCGATTCTAATTAAATCATTTCGTAAAGTGCATGAAAATGTCATCGAAACTCATTCTCCTCTTTCGCTGTTGGTGCTTTGTGTTCCCCTGCATTTGTTGTTGGCCTTTGGGGCCTGATTAACTTTTTGCGTGCTGCGTGTGCATTTGTCCATGTCCCCATCCCCATCCCCATTCCCATCCCTACAAGAATGCCAACTGCAGCCCAAGCGATTCGGGATTCATCTTCGTTCTACAGCTGCATTTGGAAAAACTGCGGCACTCGCAAAAAAAAAAAAGATGTAGAAAATCAATGCAAAAACACAAAAGTGCAAGCAGACGGGTAACAGCAAGAACAACAATGGTTAAGGGAATGTGAATGGGAATGGGCTCGGAGGTCTCTTGTTGACTTTTTTGTGCACAAGGAAAAAATTGGGGGAGTTTTGATGACGGGCTTAAAATTTATCATTTCAAAAATGATTTTGTTTATTTTTTTTTTGTACATACAAATATTCAAGACCTTAGTCATAGGATATTATTAAATGGAGACTAGCGATTAACATAAAAAAGTTTTATTATAAACTTGATCCTTAACAATGATCAAATTGAATCTATATGGACAGAAAAACTATAGAAGCAACTAGAGACTTATATAATCGTCTAATAGGATCCGAAGGATTGAATTTTCATTTCTTTTCTATCCCAGAAAAGTGGTTAATGTTTTTTTTAGTGCATGTCGACTGTGTGCAGACAGTGTTTTCTGCCAGGGTGGGTGGCCCACCGTCTGCCCTTCTGCTAGCCTGCGTATTTGTGTGTGTGTACTTGCGCAGAGTGGAGTAAAAAATTGATTTTTCCAAGACATTTTCCAGCGTTGTTTGCGGAAACATTTGCACTTATATGCACTATTTTGGACAGCTTTTAAATACACACTTACACTTAATTCAGGGCATTTTCAGCACTGCACTTGCAGTTTAATTGTATTACTGGTTTTTTAAAAAACACAGAAAAAAGTTGCACACTCGCCGGAAAATTTATTATTGGGGCACCGGCGCCAGTCGCGTCTGCTCTTTTTTATATTTCTCTGTTTTTTTTGTGGCTTTTTTATGGCACTTTAAACAAGTTTGCACGATAGGCGGGCCACTGCTTTTGCCGTTTTGCCGTTTGATTTTTCGCCACCTTCGCCCGCCGACTTTCGAGAAATGAATGCGATTTTGGTTTCGGTGCTCTCTCTTCTTTGCTCTGCTCTCTCACTTTCTGCTCCACTGCGACGCCGACTGCGCTGCTGGCGCTCAATTTGGGGCTGATGAAGAAGCAGTGGCATGCGTGTATTTACGAAACTACATGGAATGGAGGAGAGAGCGATTGGAGCAAGAGAGTAGAGCAGCTGAAAGAGAGGTAGCAAATCAGAGGCAGCGGGAGAGCCAGCTTCGAGCACTTGTTGAGCGTATTAACTTATAAAAGTGCACTGAGAAAAATAATAATATTACGTATACGCTTCAATAAACCTAAAAAGTATGCTCCAAAAATAAGAATTGAATTTTGAATTATTTGTCGAAATTTTTGAAATGGTATTTTCTATTTTTTTTTTTTTTTTAATATATAACATACGTAATTATTAACTTTAAAATTAGCCCAAGAAATTTTATAATCTGCTTTAAAATTTCTTTATTCAAGGAGACTCATTATACAAAAAACCTACTCCGGCACAGGATGGGCGGGTATCACTTGTCCAACGCACTCCCCAAATCCAATTCGCAGTCCGTTCTTCTCGCAATGACCCCGGATGATGACCTCGTCGAAGTCCTGGAGGAACTTCCTCGTCTTGCCACCCGGAAGCTCCACAGTCTTGGTGCCCTTCCAGCAGAGCTCTAGAAGTGATCCATAAGAGTCTGGAGTCTCGCCGGAGATTGTTCCCGATGCCATCAGATCACCTGGACGCAGATTGCAACCGGTGACCGTATGATGAGCGATTTGCTGCAGTGGCGTCCAGTAAAGATGCTTGAAGTTGGACTTCGAGATGAGCGATTCGTTCTGGTCGGAAGCTTCAAGCATAGGATGTATATTAGAATAAATCCGTTCAATTACCGTTCTCCGACTTACGCTTCAAAGAAACCTCCAGGTTGATATCAAAGTTGAATGGAATGCTCTGGCGCAGATAGGGCAGAACCTCGGGATCCTGGGGGAAGTTGTCCAGTAGGAAAGGTTTCAGGGCAGCTGTAGGCACCACCCAGGGAGAGATGGTGGTTCCCAGATTCTTGGCTGTGAATGGACCCAACGGAACATACTCCCACTTCTGGATGTCCCTGGCACTCCAATCGTTCATCAATGTAAATCCAAAAACATTCTTCCAGGCCTCATCGACGCGAATGGGTTCTCCCAACTGATTGCCTTTACCTCCGATAAAGAAGGCCATCTCCAACTCAAAGTCCAGCAGTCTGCAGGCTCCAAAGACTGGCTTCTCCGCTCCCTCGGGCAGAGTTTGTCCCAGTGGACGACGGATGGGAGTTCCGGAGACCACCACGGAGCTAGCACGACCATGATAACCCACCGGCAGATGACGCCAGTTGGGCATGAGGGCATTGTCCGGTCCTCGGAACATGATGCCCACATTGGTGGCATGATGGATGGATGAGTAAAAGTCGGTATAGTCACCAATCTGAGCAGGCAAATGCAGTTTAATCTCCGTCTGAGGTACAATGGCACTAAAATGACAGGTGAAATATATATTATACTATTACATTTTATAGCCCCATACCAAACCATACTCACACCGCCTTCAAGTCCACATTCTGATCCAATTCGGAACCCTGGACCAAAAGCTTCTGAGTCTGTGTCCTCACCACATCCCAAGCTTCAAAGTCCAATCCCATAAGCTCATTCAAAGTTTCCGCCTGCAGACTTTTCTGAACTTGGAAAGGGTACAGCTGCGCGACTGCTTTCAGGTCCAGGACATGCTCACCAATGGCCACACAAAGACGGTGAACTTTCTATGGGTGGTGGCAAGAAAAACAGCAATTACGATATACAGATACGATATGGTATGATATGGGGGCCTTATCAGAGCTAGTTGCTGGGTTATTAAAGATTGGATTAGCATATTGTTTTCGTAAACAAACTAGTTTGTGTTGGATGATGTATGCAAATGCTATGCCTCAAAGCGGTTTCTGATCTAGAGTTGATTTCTAGAACATGTGGAACGATTTCCAAGTCACATGGAATGTAATACAAGTCAAGAAAAACCTAGAGTCTATTAAATTTTGTTTTAACAATTTAAGCCTAATGTTTCTTTTATTACTGTGTTTTGTTTGAAAACAATAAGCTCATTTTTAACACTCTTGACAGTTTATTTGACATCATATTCACTCACATTGTTTTCAGTTGAGAAGACAGCATAGGGCAGATTTTCCAGGGGAAAATCACTTCCCGCCGGCACTGGCACAAAACTCTGGGACATTTTAAAAGCACTCAAAGTGAACAACTTGGGTAGGTGGGTGCGGATCAATAAACTAACGCAGAGAACCGTAAAAAGTGTGCGCGGAGCCAGAGTGAGCTAGATAACAACTGAGGGGTTTGCACACCGCGATCCGCTTTATATAGCTTCTCCAGACCCCAAGATCTCTCACTTCTCTTAGCGAAACCAAGCCCCCAAAGCAAAAGAGCATTTGAAACCTTATAAAGAGAAACACACAGATTGCGCTTTGGTTACTTTTATTTACCCATATGTTTATATATATAATATATTCATTTGCTTTTATATAGATGTTGGAATAATTCTTGTTCTGGTTTTGATTTGGATCTCTGCAAATACATATACATTAATTTATACATACATAAAATGAGCGTGATGCTGGATAAACTTAGATAACACGCTTTAAAATACAATATATGTTTAATTTATTTTTATACCATTAATCTTTTAGTTTTGCTGAATTGACAAACGTGTTTTGTGCACAGGTAGAATGTAATATGTCTGATTGTGTTCTTCTGATTGGGGGGATCTTTCCATTCCAACCTGGGCCAATAACCGAATCGATCTTAACTGAAAACAGAATCTTCCAACATTCGTAATTGAGTTTTAATTGACACCGGACATTCATATATATATTTGTCAGCCCTTTGCTGGAAACTAAACTCCAACTAATTCGATTATACGTATTCATGTCTCTATATATAGCACAGTTCGATACATGGACTAAATGGGATCTGGAGCTTAGATCCCCATATCTTTGGTTTTGTCTATACAATTAACAAGCACAGGTCTCTTTCGATCTCGTTTTTTATAAAGGTACGCATGGCCATAGATATATGAAAACATTTACTATTATTTCACTATTTGCAAACAAAGCAAAACTCAACGAATTGAACTAAAGTCCTCGAATCTCTTTCATCTTCTCCTGATATGTTAAGATAGCGTTCCAACAGTGTCTATATCGTATATATTTCGTAGTTTTATTGAGTTTGGGGCTGGGACTGTTCCGTGTTTTTTGGTGGTGCGTGTGTGGAGCGGTGGCTTCTATGCTCTGAATTCTCTATCATTATTTGCGGTATACATATAGATATTCAAATATTACTTATAGACTCCTCTCTGTGCCCTTCGATTTAGATATAGTTGCCAACGAACGGAAATGAAACGCCACGGTTATACATAGTTTTCAAATTTTTTTTTGTCAACTCCGGGACGAACGGATAACGACGGTTAACGAATAACGGTTAACGGATAACGGGATGAGAAATCGTAAAGGAACATCTAGCAACACGTTATAGATACAAACAAATGTACATTCAACATTGAACTCTGATGATAAGCGGGATTTCATCGATCCCCGTCTCTTAACTTTCCGGGTCTTTCATTGCGGTCTCCTGATATGCTTTTACCTTAACGATACTTCTTGGTTGTGCCACGTCTCATTACCAATCCAATGCAAGCCGCACTGAAACCCCTTACAAGTCGTCGCCCAGACGATGGATCTCATCCAGCATAAAGTCCACATCCGCCTCGTTGACCGCCGCCGATGAGATGATCGAGCGGAAGAAGTTGGGTCGCCGATCGTCGGGCTGATAGCCCACCATCAGCGTGCCCTTCTGCATCATGCGGCCCTTGATGATGGGGCAGATCTGCAAGGATAATATAGAAATATTAGGAGAAAGTTTAGAATAAAAACTTTATATCTTTATTATCACATTGTCAATTTATTACTATATTTTTAAAGAATAAGATTACTAATGTTATACAAAATGTAATGTATTTATACTCTTAAATGCTATTATTGGTTTTAAAAAAAGCACAAATTTGATTGATCTATCTAATTGAACGTAGTTTTTGCTCAGAACGGTAAATTCTCAATTTTTTAGTAGAATTAATTGATCAATGGTAAGATAAATTTTTATTGAGTAAATAAAATAAAAACAGAAAATTTATTACATTACTTTTTAGATTTATGAAATTTGAAACGAAATGGAATAAATGCTATCATTCGTTTAAATAACATTTTTTTGATTTTACTTATCATTTTTTTCTCAGAAGTTTCTTGAAATACTTGTCTTACCTTTCCAAGCTCCACCTCCTTCTTGGCGTCGTGTGGTACTCCTCTCAGCCGCTTGGGCACATACCAGAAGGAGACATTGACGCACTCGGGCTCGAGGATGAGGTGGAAGCGATCGGACTGCTCCCGGATGCGCTTCAGCTGGTACTGGACCAGCTCCATGAGGCGGTCCTGCTGCTGCTCGAAGCCCTCGGTGCCCTTGGCCCGCCACTGGAGCCACAGCTTGAAGATGTCGTTGTGGCGGCCGCACTGGATCACCTTGTCCCCGGTGTCGTAGCTAATGTCGTACTGCTTGTCGGTCATGAACAGATACTCCGCCGACATCTGGTTGCAGCTGATGAGGAGGCCCTGCGGAATAAGGACATCGATTCGGGATGAAATATCTCACTCTCTCTCTCTTTAGCTCGATAGCTGTATAGCTCTGTCCATAAGTCAAGTTGAAATTTTAATTAAAATTCCGCCTGCCAAAAGACGCAACTGTGACCGATGGTAACATATTGCACGGGATGTAAAAAAGTCAGGGTGACTCAGCCAAATGCGGCCCGTGCTCGTCAAAGATTTCATTACGCATTGTGTGTGCGACTACGACGGGGCTACGACTACCCTTGGCCATTTTGCTCCTGTTTGGCAGGACGAACAACAAGGAATTGTTCGGAGTACAATTGGAATTCTTTACACAAACATTGTTCGATGTGCATCCAGAAGAATGTTGGGCAAACCCAGGGGTAAACGGGGCAGTGGAAAAGGAATTTAAACCATGGGGTTGGGATAGAGGTATGCCTCGAATTTGTTTCACTTGGTTGCAGGATGGCAGTGGTGGAGCGATGAACTTTTAACTTCCATGACAGGCTGGCCTTTTATTTTAACTTTGAACTTGCAGAAACCATATTCGTTTACCACTTGCCAAATACTGAGTTGAGCAATTGTGAGCTGCCAACAAATTAAACAAAATGTAGAGTCTGCCAACCACACATTTTACAACAGAAATATTTCAGTGGCATTCAATCTTTATACAATTTATATAACGTTAATAACAAAAAACCTTTAAAACCTAAAGTCGAATGTTAAATATTCAAATAAAATATATATACTCTATGATAAACAAGCTCTTAATCTAAAATACTTGTTTTCTCAAATGCAAATTAAATATTAAATATTAAATAAATAATCCTTATTACTAACATATTCAGATTTGAACACGAAAACTGTTTATAATATTTTTTTTATGCTAAGGATCTATCTATAGATGAGTATACTTACATCCTCCTTGAAATGGATCGTGGAGCATTGAAGCAGGGCTCCCATGAGCTTGTGGGGATTCCAGGTGACCGAATCGGCACTGCAAGAGTCAAATCATAGCGTTAAATGGACATTCAATTACGAATTACAAACAATTAACACTAATCTGCCGCAGTGCGGTGCAAGCCCCATCCCCTTAAAAACATTAAATCCAACCCCCGCTGTGTGACAAGAGCTGAAAAAAGGGGGAGGGATATAAGGAAGGTCCTGGCAAGTGCCATAAATTGTGGCAATTTCAGGCCGCAGCACTTTAATTGAATTCAAAAGAGCGGCGAGGACAACCCCCGTGGGCCTTCGGAGGGTTGACAGTTAAACATCCCTGGGGGAGCTATTTACAGTTATGTGGGCGCAGTGTGTGTGTGTGAGTGAGAGTGTCCTTGAGAGTGTGCGTGAGTGGGTGTCTATAAACATGATCCTTATGGAGTGCCTGGAAGTATGCTTCACTTTTTTATACACCGTTTTTGCTTTGAAAAAAGGGGTATATTGATTGGATAGAAATCACACTTTTGATAGGGTATTGTTTATAAATTATTGCAAAACACAATAACTAAATACAACAATAACTTACATATTTCGAAATTCAATTCTTCAAAAGAAATCTAATAAATATTTTACCTATATAAATTATTGACAATTATTAAAGCCCCTATACAATAATATTTTGAAAAAGTTTTGAGTCCATTTACTAAATAAGTTTATTTATTTATTTAGGTATTTTTATCTTATCATTACTTTTTTTTATCTTATAAAAAAATTAATATATTAATATTTTTTATAAATAAAATAACATTTTGAAAAGAAAACAAAATTATTATAATTAAACTTAACCAGATTTTAATTCGTGTTTTAGTAAGGTATCTTATAGTCTACACCTTTTTCTCATCCAATACGTATTTGATTGAGCAGCAGCATGTGAAGTTAAACTTTTAAGATGAGATTTTGGTTCGATTGTTTTAAGTTTGCTTCCGGAAACGAAACTCAGCGGATTTAAGAGCCTCTGGCGAAGCCTCCATCGAAGTACCATTAATCAGAGTTGCGTAAGCCTTCGTAGGCCGCAAAATGTCAGCTGTATGGGCATTTTAATGATTAATTCGCGCTGAGAGCCTTTCAATTAAGGACCTCGATTTGCATGCCACAGCAATTCGTGGCTTAGGATCCATTCAAACTAATTGAAGGCGAACGGCTGGGTGATGGATGGATATCCGGATATCCAGCCATGGAGGGCAATCAATTTGAAAGTGTTTATGGAGTCTGCTGCTTGACCGCAAGCTGTCGATACAGCGACAGCTGCACTTGCCGCATTTGCCTAAGCTTCCTGAAGACTGAGCGGAATTAAAGATGTGGATATGGACTGGAGATGGAGACGGAGATGGAGTAAAGTGCATTTCAGGTTGCGACTTTAAAATTAAAAATTCCTCAACCGGGGATGAATCCGTACTCCTGACTTGCCCTCACATTCATTGTTTGGCGTAATTGTTGTGTAAGTAATGCCCATCCAAAACACCCCTCTGGACTAGATGGATTGCTTCTGGAAGGGGCCACAGTAGAAATCCACTTTGTTCATTTGTTTGTTCGGGCCAAAATGCACTCGGCTTGTGCCTTGTAATCCCTGTAAGCTCTGAACACCTGATGGAGGCACTAAATGACAAATTGAGATTTTTCCCACATGTTCAACTCGAATCGCTTTTCCAAGAGGGAGGGTGACTGAGCAATGCGGGCCATTTGGGAGCATTTAGATTTAAATTTACCCAACCCAACACGACTAGAGATTTCAATTTTTGTTTTGACTGGCCGGAAGATGAGGGCGCCCAAGGCACAAAGTTCATGTCAAGAACGATGATGAATGAGAGCAACAATTGCTTGCGACAAAAGATAAGGTTTTCGAAGGGGTTTTTAAGGCACTTCAAAAGTACTCAAAGAAACTGCGAAGAATTGTTAGCTTAAGGGAATACACTCTTTTTATGAAGGCTAAGAAAGCTAAGAATACACTTAAACTAAGAAAATAAATTAAAAAAAAATTTATTTACAAAGTTCAACTACCAAAAAAATATATAATATAAAATGTATATATATTTTTCTTAATTTCAAATACTTTCCAAAAACGTTTAAACAATTTTTATAAAAAACTTCGCCATATCTTGACTTAAATTTACATTAGAAAATTATACTAATTTATATATTACCAAATTTAAAATGAATAAATTTTAAAGTGTTTTTAGAAAGGGATGTATGGATTTTCGTGAACATTTTAAATAGGACACTTGTCAATAGAATTCCTAAAAAAATATGAATTAGGTCTTTTACTCTCTTAAAAATATCTTAAAATCTACATAGATATAAAAGTAATTATGTAATATACTCTGTAACTTACCGCTCAACACCAGAGAATCTGGGATGACGATGCTTGCGCGACATCAACAAACCACCGCCCCAAGCAGCCTTTAAAAAATAAGAATAAAATTATTATATCTTGAGATTAATATTATAAATTTAAAATTTAATAAACTTTAAATTTCTTGAAAATTCTAAGTCTTTTTCAATTTTTTCGAAGATACTCACATCAACGTGCATCCAGCAGTTGTATTTCTGGCAGATATCTGCAATCGTATTGATATCATCGAAGGCTCCAAGGACCGTGGTGCCGGCAGTGGCGTTGACAAAGAAGGGGATGTCACCCTTGGCCTTACGCTCCAGGATCAGACGCTCCAGCTCCGAGGTGATCATCTTGCCGTGCTCGTCCGAGGGCACCACAATGCAGTGATCGGTTCCCAGTCCGCAGACGGCAGCACAGGATTTAATCGAGTAATGGCACTGATCCGAGGTGAACATCACCAGAGTGCCGGGCAATCCCACCGAGCCGTGCTCCTTGTAGTTGGGGAACATCTTGTGGCGCGCCGCCAAGAAGGCATACAGGTTGGAGATGGAACCTCCGGGGGCCAGAATGGAGTCGCCACCTGACCAGCCGATAATCTCGCGCATCTTGGTCAGCACCACATTCTCCATCAGGATGAAAACGGGCGCAATCTCGTAGGTAAACATGTTGGTATTGGCCGTGGCCGTCAGCCACTCGCCGGCCATCGAGATCAGGTCCAGACCATTGGACAGTTGGTTGAAGAAGTGGGGATGTCCTGAAAATTACAATGAAAATATAAAATATAAATTTGTAAGTCAAAAACCACTTCTTAATTTTTAGAGGCTTTTAGGTAAATCACTAATGTTTATATTATTTGCTTTTAAAATTTCGAAACACATTTAAAATTCTGAAAGTAAGCCCCAACATAAGCCACATTAAACTTATTTTTTACGAAGTTGTGGTTTGCATCTCACTTAAAAATTTAATTTTAAATATAACATGTTTCCAAGTCATTGAAGATACATACACGAAATTCTGATTTAAATTCTATAAAAATATAATTTTTAAACGTTTGTTTCTTTTTCTTTTCTCATATTGTAAAAAACTTGAAAAAACTTCAAGTTTATCTGCATAATTTTTTTAATTTTCTTCTACAAAGACCTCTTTCAAAGTTAAGCTCCTCTTTTTAATTAACACTTTTAGACGGAACCAATACTTGTGACATTCTGTATGTGCTTGCCTAATGTAGCTGAAAATGCTTTCCATTTAGCAACGGCTGTCTCTTCAAGTCACTGGGACTTTTCTCGCTTTTCCGAGTTTTTCTAAGCTGACAGCAGATGTGTCTGGCGGCAGCTGTGCTTCCTTCGCCCATCAACCTCCCTCCATCCAGCAGCTTTCTGTCAGTGTTTTTTGTTTTTATTAAAAATATATTTTCGAGGGCAGTGGCAACTGAAACAAAGGCCGAGCCGAAATACGGCTGACTGGCCTCGAAGGGAAAAATGTATAGGAATAAAAGGAGGACGAAGGAAGACGGCCGGAAGTGCATATGTTCAAGGGCAGACGGTACAAGGTCCTGTTGGCCAATCGATGGAGGATAGTCTGCTCTGAAAATCCGTTTCCCCTGCTCAACAAGTTTAGCCCTGTAATCCTTGAGCCCCTGCTCCTGCTGATCTCTATAAATTGCTCATTTATTGTAGCTAATTGCGACTTGCCGAGCTTCGATTTTGGGGGTGCTATCTGTGGAGACTGGGGCAAAACTCCCACGAAGAATCACAAAATGCTTTCAGTCACCATCAGGAAGCTGTCCAACTCCTCGAATTTTGTACATTTCCCCTCCCTGTTCCACTTTGAACCCTTCGGCGTCTGTCAGTTCACATCTTGAGTGCCATAAGTCGTGTGATTAAAATCCCATTGCCCACAAGGCTAAATCCACCCACAGATATAAAATACATATGCACGGAGAGAAATCTTTGTGTATTAAACGATACTGATCACATATTAAATACAATGAATATCAAATTGCATGAGTTAATATTGACTTGAATGCATTTTATTTTAGTTAAAAATTGTATTATTTTCAGTTATCAAGATCAGTTCCAAAAATAGTCGAAAGAAATTGTTAAAAAAATGAATGAAAATTAATAAATGTTGAAATTCAGTACAAAATATTTTGATTTACAAGGTTTTTCTTTACCAGTTTTGCATTATTTTAACTCAATATTCAGAACCTATTAAAATAAAATGTTTAAAAACATGTTTATCGTTTACTAAACCTTTTTTTATTCAGTTAATAGCTACCAGTTTTTGCCAACATTTTTTGTTCTGTATGCCAGTTGACAGAGCGTCGGCATCCAAACATTTCAATTTGCGCATGTGGCCAGGATATGCTCGTTGGAAGGACTCGATTCGAGCGGAGTCACCCTCGTCCCGGCAGCCATTCATTCGCATCAAAGGATCAGGAATGCAGCGAGTCAGAAAATAACAACGGATTTTGATTAAAGCTCCCCTCGTTTTTATGGAGTCCTCGGAGAAGGAAGTCGTATCCGTCGTATCGGGTTGCCAGTCTGACAGGGCGCGCATTATGTGAGATTACGGATCATAAATGGGACTCTTATCGGGTCTGCAGGGAAGGCAAGTGCGGAAAAACAGCTTGACAGCACTATCTTTTGGAGAGGAAATTGGTTTGCTTGTGATCATATTTTAAATAATATTTAATACTTCTGTTTAATTTTTAAACACACAAAATATAAATATTTGTAATTGCCAAATCTTCTTCCACCTTATTAGAAACTTATTAACCAAACTTTCCTAACACAAATGTTTACCATATAATGGCATTTTAATGAGATTTTCGTTATAACTTTGCAGCCATTTTGTGAGTTTATTTTAATTATGTTTCCTTTTAGCACTGAACTTGCAATAGAAAAACTAACAGAAACTTGAACCAAAACTTGAACTTCCCATCATGTAACATGCGACTCGCATCCTAATTACGTTATTTTTATTCCTTCTTTCCCAAAAGTTTCCCATGCAATCTGAGCTTATTCAGTGGCTCTTCTGATTGCGTTGAGTTTTAATTCAATTTTTGGCAAGCCAAATGGGGAGCAGAAGGATAAACAGCAGCATCCTCATTTCCTGCCAAGGAAAGCAACGCCTGCTTCCGAGACAAGGCCGCAGTTTCCGGGGGTGGGTGGTGTTTCTGCGGTGGAGTGGGTGGTGTGGGGTGGCTCTAGTAAATACGCTTATTATCGATACTCCAAACACAATTGCGGTCACGTGCGTGGACTGCACAAACATCGGAGGACAAAAGACAGCCACGGACGACTGGGGACAGACTGCCTCTCGCATTAATTTTCAATGAAATCAAATCAGTAAGGACATTCAAAACAAGCTGGAGAAAACTATGATATAACTTTTCGACTTTGAGATACCATAGATATTCCAAACTATGATTTTTTAGATAACTCGATTATTTGTATTGGCCAAGAAATATTATTTTGGCAATTAATATATTTCTGATCATCTGAAATAATTTATATCAAATTTTTTTGTTTTAAATTATTTTTGTATAACTAGAAACTGTTAATAATATAAATTTATATACCAAATATAGTATCTTAAAAACTTGAACTTGAAATAAAAATATAACATATAAAATCTTCTTTAATTGGAGTTACCAATTTTTATACCATCTAATATTCTCCTCTGATTATCAAGTAGTGGGTATGAAAAAGTTAAAAGTGAAACGTGCGAATGACTTTTGGCTGCTAAATCCGCGCACACAAAGAACCCTTTGCCTGATTTATGATTGATGGCAGGCTGAATCGCAGGGGGATTGCGATTACAGACCCCGAGGCGAGTGTTTTTGAAAGGTGTAAACAAGCCGGGGCCGCAGCTCAATGGGCCATAAAATGGCATTGTCTGTTGTCTGATGTCTGCTGTTGCTGTTGATGTTGCTGTGTACTCCGTGTATCTCCCCGAGTGCCATCAATATGCTAATGTGCTTATCTAGAAGGCTGCACACTTTGTGTTCTAATACGACCGCAAGGTCCAGAGGCACGCGTCCTGCCCTTTTGCCTTAAAAAAATATGCCACGGACAAAAAGCATATGCTAAGCAGGGACAAATTTGATTAATCCCCAACTGAGCAAACATTACGGGGTGACGATAAGGTTGGAAATTATAAAGCTTAGATCACCTTTGAATATTCATACCAGCTTTAAAAGTTGAGATTTTGTTTTTACTTATTGTGACAGGACTATTGTAAGCCATAATTATTTTAAAATTTGTTTATCACCAGCAGAAACTAAATTTAAACAAAAAAAAAAAATAAACAAATAAACAAAATAATAATAATTGCAGTTTGATTAAAGTTATTGAATTTATAGCACCTTTGAAATTTATAACCGGAATTAGGTTACAATAATAATTTATTTTACATTTAAGCATTGTTTTAGTTGCTATTATTATTGCCTAAAAAAATCATTTTAGAGTAAAATTGTTTTTAATATTTTATTGTCTATTTCCATTTTTTGAAATCTGTTAATTTTTTTAAATTAAATCCACTTCAATAATTTTGTATTATTTTATAGAATATAAGATATAAATAAACCTTGACTCACCCGTCTTGACTTGATACTTCAGCGTGGTGGCACAATCCTCGATAAGCTGCTGCAGTGGCAAGGCGCGATCAGGAACATCCAGATCCAGGAGTCGCTTCATGTCCTCGGGATGGTGGAAGTCCAGGACCTTCTCGTTGCGGTCGTTGGTGGCCTTCACAAAGTCCAGAAGCACATCGATTACCTTCAGCAGGAACTCCCGTGTCTCCGGTCCAGCGGTCACTGTGGTGGGCATGAGATCTGGATAGGAAAAAAAAAAAATAAAGAGGGTGCGGAAAAAACCAAATGAGAATACCTTATCGGTAAATATGAAAAGCGTGCCCCGCTGCTGACAGGAAAAATGGTTTTTCCTCTCTTATCGTGATATATGGCTATTATTATTGCCATGATTTGTGGGGGGGCAGTGTCGTAAAAAAGAGATGACTGGCTTTGAGACAAGGTAAGTCGAAATTTTTCATGGGCAAACTGAGAATTCAATTATTATTTTGGACCTTAACAGTCGTTCACTGAGAAAGTCGAGTAGAATTCTTTATTTTTTAATTAAGAACTTATGGTAACGGTTTTAGTGAGCTGTATTCATAAAATTATAATTTTTTGTTTCTTATATAACCATTACCTACAGTTTACCAGCAAGAAATATTTTTATATATATAAATCTCAATCAAAAAAATCATGACCCAAAGTAAAATTATGTTGACATTTTTGGTGACTTTCTGATTATAAATCTATTTTAGTTTACAAGTAAACTTTTTTTATCGTTCAATTATTTAAAGATGAGCAGTATTTATTTAAAATATTTAAATTAATATTTGCGTACGATTTTTCAAAGTGTTGTTTTTAAAAACCTTACAAAAAACTGGCATAATAAAAATCCTTTTTATTTCAAAGAAAGGTGTAATATTATACACTATATAAGATACAATTAAACGAATTTTTCAGAATAAGAAGACTCATAAACGTCATATGGTTTATGTATAAACAAAAAAAATCATTCTTTGTTGCGCACCATTTAAATTTTAAACCAGAAAACTTAGGATTAAAATGCTGTATATCAAGCTAAGATTATTATCCAACTAGCCAGATTTTCCAAGTGCACCCCATTGGGTTTTACTATACATAAACATCCTTTACTGTCCTTGGCATTTTACTTCTGCGGTGGCTGCAATTAATTACTGGGGCTTTGTTTAAGCATCAGCAGCAGTGGCCACTAAGCCACCGAGCAAATGGGAGCAGCTCCCCATTCGAGACCCGCTGGAAATCAATTGGAAACTTAACGTTGCGCATGATTACCATTTTGCGAAGGAGAGTTACTTTTTTGGTGGTGGAGTATAAATTGTAGCAAGCTCAAAAATTCCTCGAGTTTACGGCCAAGAAGTTAAATACAATTTTAATGTGCCCGACTGCTTCAGTGGGTGCTCAGTGTCAAAGGCAGTCGAAATGTGAGTCCTGCGAGTGCTGCTGCGAAGGAGCATTAGGAACAGCCGTCACACACGAGTCCTGGAATCGAGCGTGAGCAATATCCTGTGACTAAACGGTTTATGTTTGTTGGCCTTTCAATTTGAGGCACGCGTCTGCCGCCTCGGGGAAAGTCCTGCCACCTTTTCTGGTGGTGGATTTGTTTGACTTTCTGTCTGTTTGTTTCGTGTTTGTCGATGAAAATCTGTTACAGGACAACAGTCGCCAGTTTCACGCTTCAACGGCAACACACACGAAACAGCAACGAATCGAGTGCAAAGGAGCTTCGGAGTGCAGTGGCCATTTATCAAGGACATGAGTGTCCTGGACAGCCCACTGCTTGTCCATGTCCTTGCCAGCAGACTCCAGATTCCAGTTTGCCCACTTTCTGTTCGTGTCCCTGGCCGTGTCAGTTAAGCACTCGTTTATTATTTGCCCAGCCAAAAGCGATTCGAGTGCAACTATGCGAAGGACCAATATTTGCCAGGATTATTACACGTACCTAGGCATAGCGAAGTAATGCCCCTTCGGAAGCATGTTCGCAAAATATGTTTCTTGTGCAGGAATGTGACAGGCTTGAGCAAGACATTCGCAGTATAAATCTTGGTTATCAACTAAAATTTATCGCTTGTACGTGTACAATTTATGATTATGACAAAAAGGCTAAAACCTTGAAAGCTAATTACCTATTGATAAATTATTGCACATTTTCACAGGTGATGTTTATTATTCATTTACAATGTGCATCAGTAGAATAATTTAAATAAAATATTTCCTTAGTCATATTATAAAAGCCCAAAATATTACTATTTTCTTGAAGCATTTTTATGTTCTGAGCTCGTTTAAAAGTAAAATAGTAAATCTTTTTGACCACAGTATAATAAAACAAAATAATTTTCGTATTCATAGTTTACAAGCCAAGTATATTAAAATAATGGCTCATTAAGAAATAGCGCTAAATGTTTTCTTGAAAAAAAGTAGAAGTAAACTAATAATTTAAATGCGTCAAGTGTATTAATTTTATTATCTAAAAGAATATTTATAATGACTTTTTTAAATAAAAGAAAATTTGCCATTTTATTGATTACAATCACGATTTCGTTCATTCATTCATTCGATTTTTTATAATTTTCATATATTGAAAATAAAAATATTTACTTGCCTAACAAGATTTTTTTCTAACTAACTTGTTTAAATAAATTTCGTCATTCCTGTTTCCCATTTTTTAAAGTTATATAGTTTGAATAAATTAAATGAAGTACTTACCATACGCCGTCAGCTTGCCCGTCCTTTCGGACAGTTTATACCCGTTCGGATTGAGCGACATTTTCTCCTCTGCAAGGAATAAAAAATAAGAATAGTATATCAATTACTAGGGATAATCCCAAAGTTAAGACTCAGCTTAGTTAGAAACAATGGAGCTCGGCCAAATGAAGTGAGTCAATGTTATGCAATCGACCGAAACCTGAGGGCCCCAAAGCAGGTGTTACATAAGTCCTTTGCGAGGAAAAGCCCCCCACCACACATATTTACACCCACCCACTCACACACACACACACACACAAATTGCATAACCAAGACAAACAAACAAATGGTGTGAAAATGCAATGGGCGTGCAAATAAACAGAGTGGAAAATGGAATGGGGAGTTGGGGTTTGTGGGGTTTGTTTGGTTGGGGTTTCAGGGTACAAGGACAACTGAAGGGCAGATTCCAAGTGGGAGGTATATATCTTCTATATACTGTGTATATACACTGATTTCAGGGACCCTCCTTTCCCATTTTTGGCGCCATCTGCTATTGCGCAGTGTTAAGCCAATTTCCTGCGACTGTATACATATATATATATATATATATATATATATTAATATGGAATTTACATAGGGATACAGACAGCGCGACAGCTGCTGTTAATGGCGAAAACCTTGGACAGTACGTAACTTATGCAACGAAAGTCAGACTATAATCTGTGAGACTCTTACCGATAATCCTGCGGATATCGTCGATATACTGCTTTAGATAATTCACTTTGACTGTGTGCTGGGGGCGACGAATCACCGACGTTGCCTTTTGAACAAAAAGAACTAGAGGAATGTGGACGAGGACGAAATGTATCGAAATGTATCTCTAAGATGGAGCTGCGATACTACGTTTGTGGTCTAAATTAGCGACAACTTACAGAGTTCCTTCAAGCAACAAAACACTGAAAACACTCGCGGGACGGAGCCTGTAACTCACTGATTAAACGGACTTTAATTTTCTGAATTTAAAATATATATTTTATATATAATATATATATATATATATATTTGGTTACTTTCACTGAGTGGAAAACTTAGGGAACTGAGCAGCCTACACTCGCTGACGATCTGCGGAGCTATGAGCAGCAGCATCCGACTGGGCTGCCTACGAAGCTTTTCAGCCCCACAAAATGGCTGCTGCCACCAACTCTTGCATAACCTTCAACACAATACACGGACAACACGGCAGAGGACAGAGGACAGAGGAAAATGCGGGAAATTCTCTGGGTGACGTCATTGATTTTTCGGCAACCATCTTTGTTGAGCCAAATGGCGTGGGCGTGGCTTACACTTTCGCCCCAAAGTATCCAACAGATACACACACAGCCATAAAATATGTGCGCAAGACTGGAAAATACTACAAAAAAAAAATAAAATGGGCTCTAAAGGAAATAAAGATTGCGAAGGGGCGACCAAATGAAAAGCTAATTAACAAACTAATTTTGTCACTGTTACTGACATTTACAATGACCCACAACTTTTTATGAGAGTTCCTGTCGAATGACAGCGAAAAGAAATACATAATTGCTTCCATTTCCCCCAGTTTTCCCTATATATATACATTACATATGTAGAACCCAAAACATAGAACCTAGTATATAGAGCAAAACGAAATTTGGGTCAAAGCTAGGAGCCATGTATGTGCGAATAAGATATGTATCTCGAAGTGAAATTGCATCATTTCTAATAGAACGCTTTTCATAGCATACTTTTGAGGGTCGGAACGCATATAGGAATGTTATGTAACTGGGAAAAAGATGAAAACCAAAGGAGATGGGGACTAAAATGACGTACATCAAACCGGAGGAGCTGAAACAACGAGAACAGTAAAAAAAACTTCCCACGAACACAGAGCCTCTCACACTCTTATCTGACATGGAGCAGCTGGCCCAGGATGTCTTGGTTCTTGGTCCTTGGTCCTCGGTCCTTGGTACTCAGTCCTTGTACAGGATCCTCTGCGTCAGCATATTCGTTTCGAAGGCTTTGGCACTTGAAAAGTGTCTTTCGATGTAACTGATTGCAACTTAAGGGGGACATTACAGTAGCAATAACTCTGTTGGAAAACCTTGTGATCAATCTTTTATTTAACGCAAATTTTGCAAGATTTATAAAATGAAGTAGGTGCTTATTTAACAAGACTTTAAAAGCGTTTATATGCGGCAGTATACATTATAAAGAAGGCAAAAAGGCAATAACAGTTTTAAAACGACCCCATCACCATTTCATAAATTGTAATTAAGAGTTAAATAAGCCATTTGCTCATATACAAAAGAGAAATCCAATTAAAAATTATAGCTTTTAATGGGGCAACAACTGTTTTTAATGATTTCATTATCGTTACTATTAAGTATGTTTTCCTTAAATTGAAGCAATAATAATACATCAACACAAAAAACGGCAAGGAAATAAAAAGTTTTAAATATAATTGAGCTTCTGTTATTAAAAATTGCAAGCAAATTTATATTTTTAAAATAATTAAATAATATATCATTTAAAGATATAAAAAAAATGTAGAAGAGATTGCCAACGAAAACAGAATCGATGACGATTAAGTGTAACTCCGTTTAACTTTAAAATCACGTGATCAACATTTTCGCTGATTTCATTAAACCCACCTGAAATGAACCCTTTAACAAAGCTCATCCATCACAAGTGTCAGACAAATATTTTTGATAGCCAGGTATTTATGGTATTTAGACTGACTGAATATGGCGAAATAAAGTCGGTGCTTATCTGGAGCCACTCAGCGGCATGTGCTACCAATAATAATTAGGCACTCCGTCTGAACTTATCGCATATTTTTGGCCAAACCCAGACCGAAAATGTGGGCCCTGGGCATATGGCTGTGGAAATCTGCGATAGCATATCCACTGATTCGCACTTGAATCTATGACACCGGCAGATAAGGCCATCAAAAGCCTTTATTATTAGCCAGTGGGATTCTGGCAGAGGCTTTCGTTGGGGCCAGAGGCTCAGTTCACCAACTGCTACCATTTGGATCGGACAGCTTTATATAAATCCAGCCGAGTTAAGAGTTTAAGCATTTCAAGAGGAGCAGGTGTAGCGCACAATCGGATTTAATTGAGTCGAACTTTTGAAAAGCACAGTAAGTTGTAAAGGGAAACGGATACAGCAGCTTACATGGACAACAAAGAGGATAAGTTTAAACAATTTTGTGACCGATGCTTTAAGTACCCTGAAATATCCTTAGTTTCTATAGATATTTTCTTAACTTACGATCGCTTAAAATACTTTATTCTTCGAAAAAATATTTCATTTATTAATATGAAAGAAATGAAATTAGTAAATATTGGTTAGCATTTTCTCGGTTAATTTAAATTTATTTTGAGAGTTTGTATTTTTAAACAAAGCCATATATTCCTATAAAAACAACTAACATTTTAGTCAACATTATTATGGATACATGGATATAGGAAAATTATTCAATGTTTTGTAAAAAAAGATCTCTTTCTAATGGATTTATACACTTATAAGTTATCAATTTAAAGTAATACAATGCCTCTAAAAGACAACAAAAATCATCAATTCAAATTTAAAATATTTTAATAAAAAAACTTTTTTATATAACCAACTAGTTAAAATAACGTTTTTTTTAATAACACTTTTGGTTTGCTTTATAAAAGAAGAGTAGCACTTACTATTGTTATTTGTTTAAAGAACTTAAGAGTAGAAAAATCACGTGTACCTTTTGGAAGGGTATAGGAAGCGAACGGAATCGTGCAATGAAACAAACTATTGAGCAGAAAGTGGGATGCTCACCTGGCTGTGATTGCACGTAGCGCAAGTAGGCCCTGTAACCCAGATAGGCGAAAATGTTTGGAGCGTGGGGCCACCCACGGATGGGTAGATGTGTGGAATTAGATGGTCGGGAAGTTAATTCAGAGTGGGAGTTAAATTCGGCCTGGGCGAAGCGTCCTCTTTCGCACTCGACTCTCAACTGCGAACAACCAGAGGACCAGAGGACCAGAGAATGCTCTTCGCCCGAGGGCCATAAACATAAACATTTTTCCGCCTGCCAAAACAGGGAGTTTTTCGGGAGACTCCCGCTGTCTGCTTAGCCTGTCATTATGCTGACAAAACAGGATTCCAGCAGGTTGGTTAGCTCAGGTATTTTTGTCAAGTATTTTAGACGAACATGGACTTTCAAAAGCGTTACCCGGATGCCTGGATATTCTAGGAACTTTAGTTGAGAGACAGGCGATTGCATAACCCTTTTGGGTTTGGCAAATCAAGCGCATGAAATTCGGATAGCAAATACTCGGGATAACAATGGTGTAGGGATTAGGCCCCACGGGGGAAATCCCCCGTAGTTTGCTTTTTGCTGCCTATTTTCGAGAGCGCGATAATTGCATTTCGAGCACAATTGCTCCTATTGTAAGGGGCCAAACACAGCCTCCATTTTGGCCCAGTCCCCCAAGGATAATGCGCCCCAATATGCCCATCCCCCAATCTTGTAATCCTGCCCTCTCTTTTCAGCCCAGCGATGGGAAAGCGTGTGGAAAAGAGACAGAGAAAAATGTGGGGAAATGGATTGATTCTCGCCCTGCCATTGGTCAGTGTCCTCATCCTTTCTGCGTCGGCGCAGACAGTGACGTCATCGCCGGTCCCGAAGGACGATGGTTTGGGGGATGCTGCGCTGCCATCGCGAACCGCAGTCAAAATCCTTGAAGACGGCCAAACCATCAGCGCAGTTCAGGATTGGAGTTTGCTGTGTAAAGAGCTCTGCGGGTAAGTTTCGGATAAACAGCAATCCAAAACACTTGCAATTAGCCATGTAAAGTGAGTTTGGAGCCTCAAGTGACTCAAGTGTTTTCTGCCAGTGTAACGCTGTTGTCCAAAAAATACGAAATAATGATGACAACACAAAACTAAAACAAAAAGTGTGTCGATGGCCATGAGAAATCATTTGCGAAATGCGTCGGCTTTTCAAGTGTTTTCCTATCAAGGGTTTTTCCGTAATCGCGTGTCAGGCAAAAATAATACAAATTCCTGATGGTGACTATATCTGTTTTTGTTTATCACGTCGTGCGTACTAAATTCTTTCAAGTGTGAAAATTTAACCTATAAACTGTTATCAAAATGAACTTAATTACTGTGCTAACGTGAAAAAGTAAAAAAAAATTAACTAAAAAATTGGCGCCAGTCAAAAACAATAATATTAATAGAAAACAATGCATTTTAAGTTTGCTTTTATTTATAGTGGTACTCAAAACATTGAACACACTTATACCTTTACGTGAATTAATGAGATAAGCCCGAAACAAAAAAAATTCCAAAATCAAAAAGATCTTTTGCAAAGATCATTGGCATTTTGGAGAACGAGAATTTTGATTAAAACTTATCATTTATTTAATTTTTCTTGAACCGCGCATTGTACACTTTAGAAATGATCAAAAATATTAAATGTTTTTTAACTTGCTTTAAACAATTAAGATCACTTTAACCATTACAATAAAATGAGCATGTTTAAAGTCCTCTTTTTGCTTAAAACAATTTATTAAAATGTCTGTGCTTTTCTAAAGGATTCCTATATAGTCGGTTAATTAGCATTATCCTGTTGATCCTTTCAGAGCTGGCCTGGGCGTTGCCTCAACGCCTGATGGGGCCAAAAATCCAATCCTGAGACCGGAGTTTGAAGTGGCCAAGTGCCGGCAACTGTGTGGACTGCCTAGGGGTGAGTAGAAAAAAAAAATTAAAACAAAAAATTATTTTCTAGATTTAGAACTTAAAAAATCGTAGCGCCCAAAAAGTGGTGTAAATATATTAAGCTTTTAGTTGAAGCTTACTTATTCTCAAATATATACTATTTTGGAAAAGGAATGCAAACCTTAAACAATTGAAATATTATTGGAATAATTATTATGCCTAATAATTTTTTCTCGAATATTATTAACCGCTTATTTATTGCACACAAAGTTGATAACATGTTAATATACAAATTTACATATGAATAGAAAGTAAAATCGAGTCAATGTTATCCAATCCATATAATCTGTCTAAGCTCTTGTTTAAAATTAAATAAATTGAATAACTTAGAATTTTATATATATACATAAATAGATCGTCAAATTGAATTATTTATTATTCTGTCTTTGTTATAAACCAATTGGCCTTGAATTTGATCAAAATTTGTATATGGATAGATAGTCAAGTCTAGTAGATTTAACCCAAACATTTGTGTGTACTGATAGATTAAATTTGATTTACTATTGAATTATTATATAACAATTTATATAAAAATAGATAGTCAAGTCTCTTCAATCTTGACTTCTGTCTGAACTGTTTCTTTAAACATTGTGTGAATAATATTTCATATGACAAATATTTCATACACTTCCATTTAATATTTTATTGCAGGTGTTGTGGGCGACTTGGTCTGCTCGAGCTTCTGCGAGCAGCGAGATCGCCGCCTGCCCGGTTGCAGTCCCTGCCAGCAGGAGGTGCGCAGGAGGCAGAAGGAGCAGGAGGAGAAGGAGCAGAAGGATGTCCGGATGGAGGACAGGAAGGAGGAGACGATGGCCAGTGTACAGCAGGGAGATCCAGCACACGGTCCCAGTTCTGAGACGAACATCATACAGAGAACGGTCGACGCAGCTTCCGTACCTCCTGTTGTAGCCGGGCTAGATACGGATGCCACCACTCTGGCTCCGGACTGGAACGAAGTGTGCAAGGTGCTCTGCAAGACTGGCGATGGCGGGTCTTTGTGCAACTGTGATTTATCGCCGTTCTTCAGCTGAGCGATCCCCACCTTCCTGAGGGGATCGCTCCCGATGGAGGTGCTAAATCACAAACCCATTATATATAGATCGAGAATTATATGACGTTATTTACGTTTTGTTGTTCTTTGTTTTTGGACTTCAGTTTAGTGCTAGTGTTGTCTAAATAGTGGTATCCCATATGAAAATGGTATTCCATGTAGCCGATATCAAAAATCTTGTTACAAAAGTTTAGTTCAATACTGTAATGATAAAAAAAAAACTATAGGAAAATCACAAAAAAAAAGATATAAAGAGAAGAATATATATGAGGAGGAGAAGGAGAGAAGCAAAAAATTCCCTATGCGAATCAATTAATTTGTAACTAATTTCAATTAAAATAACTATATAGAAAAGTAAGCGAAGGGGGGATCTGCCCCCCTCGAAAACAACAGAATCACACAGGGCTTCCAGTGCGCCAACTCGGAGGACGAGGATCCCTAGCCAAAGGGGATCCAAAGTCCTCCGTGGAGGACACAACCCAATTTTAAGTGATTAGTCAAGGAATTGGTCTAAGCAGATAACAACAACAACAGCCAACTAATATCAAAGTACACAACATATCGTGGTATACAACTACCCACAAGCCACTCATTTTTTAGCATTAACACATGGTTCGATGGAATCAGCATATCAATTTAACTAACATCATGAGGCGAAAACAAGAAGTTGGTATCCAAAGAATTTCCTTTGTTTTGGCTTACAAGTTATTGGCGAATCAAAAGCGTTGATACATTTTAATCAGCATCAATTATGAGAGTCGCAATTAGGCCACACAATTAGCCAACCAAGAGTTTAGTGTTGGTTACGGCCATTAAACATATAACAATATACATGTACTTACTAACAAAATTGTAATTGGTCTATATATATCCACCACACACAATGAGTTGCGATTGCAAATCAGAAACTCAGACGGGCCATACTGGATCTACCAGACCCGTATAATTTATAATTATTATAATACTATCTAGGTGTCATATTGTTCAGCATAAATAATCGCATATGAGGTATCATATGCATATTATCTGTGTGTTTGGAAGACATTTTTTCGCATTGTATGAAATGGAAGACAATTTCAGCAAAACGCATTCTGGAAGACATGCGTTGCGGCAGCGGCAACAACATCTCGCCATCTGCCATTAGTCTCTAAGATTTTCTATTATATAATAATAATAATAATAACAATACCATTTTCGAATTCGAAGATATAGTCAATGGAAAAAGCACACGTTGTTGTGACAAACGCGACGCTGTGACTGACAATAATTACCTATAACTTAGGAGGAGAATAGCAGGCAAGAAAGTTCGCATACTCAGTGTCTATATACCAGTACTCTATTGCTAATATTAACCGCGCACTTATCAAAATATATAACAAATCAAAAATATATCGTACATATATGTATTGCACCAAAGTTATTACAGAGAATATCGCAATGTTTAAGGCAATTTTCAGAGCACATTCATTGATAACCTAATGCGGCTTCAGTATGTATATCGATGTGTAGCAAGTTAATCACTCAGTAAAAAAAACATAATATACGAAATGCACTTTACATTTATGTATATGTATATGTGTTAGGCGTTGCGTTTCTGCCATGAATACAACGGCCAAAACGAACCGAAAGAATCAGACGGATTATGCCGGAATAATATCCATAATATTTATAACCAACAGACACATCATCATCAATTACGATAACCGAGTCGAAAACCGTTTCGAACCGATAATACCGTTTCGCAGTTTCGTTTTTATTTGAGTTCGATCCTGTGGCCGGGCATTATCGTAACCGGTAATGTCCGTTGTCATAGTCAAAAAAATAACACAACAAATAGTTTTAAAGGCAATTTCACAACAAATAACCAAGCAAACAACTACACAACCAAATAAAGGCATTATTATCTTATATACGTTAAATGTTGTAAAGCCCCTCTAAACAAAAAAAAAATTCATCTAATTGTTTTATTGGGCAAAAGGGTTTCCAGGATGCGGAAGCTCTGAATTCTGAGATTATAATTTCTTTGTTTTGATTAAATTGTTGGTCGTTCCATAATATTGTAATCCAATGCACTGCTTAAAGTGTTGGAAGCGGTCCATAACCGCTTGAACTGCTTCAAGCAGTATTTCAAATTAAACCGCGCTAAAGTGACGTACAATTATTTATTTATTTTTATTCGGCAGATTTTTAAAAACGATTTATACCGATTTAACATTTGTTAATTGTCGTCCAAACTTAAATGTTAAATTTTTGTCTTGATACATATACATTGTGTGGTATATACAATACTTTACTCGAGATGCACTCCAGTCTCATCTGCGACGGCGGTGAAGTGGACAAGGATCCCTGCATCGGTGATGTGTTAGGCGTTGCGTGTTCTGTTCCATGGCGGAGTACCCGGCTCGCTTCCAACAGGCCGGCATTGTCAACTGGGGCATCGGTTGTGGTACGGAAATCGTCCGGGCAACCTATACAAATGTAGCCATGTTCCAGGAATGGATCGATCAGCAGTTAGATTTAAGGATCTAATAAAGAACTTTTATGACTACTCTTCTGGGTGGTTAAATTAATTTAAAATTGTTAACTTTTAAGAGCTTCGAATTGAAAAACTTGACTTCTGATTGCCAACACATTCAATATATGAGCAAACTCGATAGCCGTAGCCCTTACAATATTGAAAATTTACACTATTGTCAAAATGAGTTCCTGAATATTGAAAACAGCTAAATCAAACAGATTCCCGCTTCAACAAAAACATACCCAACTTCTAGCTACTGTTAATTTGTTTATTTTTCGCATAGTAGTTTCCAACGTAATCGTTAAATAGAGAACGGCAAACATAAACTGGACGTGTTCATTGCATTATAGGTAAGTGTATTAAAATTAGGGTTTAGCGTTAATTGCTTTCGTGTACAATTATTTAACAAAGTCATGGGTGTAAATTTCAACTAATCTTACAAAGAAAAACAAGGAAGATACATTGTGCTTGGCGCCTTGGGCGTCATTAGTTCGTTAGTTTCGATCTTCGCGAGTTAAGTACTAAAGAAGGCTAGTTTTTTTTTTGTGGCCTGTGCTCGATCGGGGATCAACTGAACGGGATCTGGGATCAATAGGCGGAAATCAATCTAAGCGTTAGTTAATAAATCAACTTCCATCCATCCAGCGATTATCTCCTACGTTTCTGCTTCTTTTTCTTTTTTTGATTCCGTTAGCAAAGTTCGTTACGTGACAAAAATGCTTACAAAATGTTGCTAGTTACACTATGACAGTTTACAATTGGCAAGTATGAATCGTTATCCTCGTTAAGTATCTGATTTGTTTTTGTTTGTTGCTTAAGACGTTAGTATAATATCAGTTTTTTCCTTGTCTCCTCAGATCTCCTCTGATCTGCAGCTTTGGCTGCTTGTCTTTTAAGTGTTTTCTCTGGTCATTTGTGTGTTGGATTAGCTAATCGACATGCGATTAGAGAGCCGTCTTCATCATTCGCCCGCCATCTCATCGATGCGACATCGCACAGCGTGTTCCAGCACCTCCAGACTGGCGTAATCCAACTCCTTCACCAAGCAAAGAGTGGCGGACAGCAGATTCGAGTTCTGCGAAGAAGGGATATGATTCAGTTATCGATCGAGCTTATCGACGGTGTGTCACATTCCATATACACTCACCCTATTAACGGGTCTGCGATGGTAGCCCGAGTAGTGATTCATCACGGAGGCCGACAGCGTCGTGGTCGAGTCACTATAACGACCCTCGGGTCGCCTGCAAAAGAAATACGTTAATTAGTTTAAAGTATTAAACAATTTAATTAAGACACTTAGATACTAAGTGATAATCGATTTTTGTTTATCAACTTGCAAATAATGGTTTAATATTAACGCGATAGTTAATAATAACAAATTCCGTTGGTAGGCAACACTAAAATTGTTCGCCTAATAACATTGCTATACACTTATTAACAATATAAAACATAAAGACTAGAATGTGCTATAAAAGCAATAAATAAACTTGAATACAATGCTAATGCATTTAACACAACAATACCTGTAAACAAATATATATAAATTAAATGCTCCAAATGCACTTCATTTAATCAGTGCTATAAAGAAATAATATTTCAAAAACAAGACTATAGATATCAACATCAGTCCCTTTTGCTGATGCAATATACATAACAATATGTGTTAACGATTAAATATAAATCCATGGAATTTGTTTAAAATTCCTGTCACAAAGCGCGTGTAACCCATTGACAAATAAATGAAGTAAACATTTAAAGTAAACACGAACACTGCCTGGCTATCTGCGATATGTCGCACTCTGTTTGCCCATGATAAAATAAACGGAAACCACGATATGCTAATTGGCACCGCTGACCGCTGACCCCCGAGCGATGACCTCACCTCGACCTGGGCCTGTCCTCCGGATCCCATTCGCCGCCGTTCTCCCGGGCACTGCCATTCCGGTAGGCAGTCGTCTCCGGTCCCGCGCTGCGCCGCTGCTGGTGGTGCAACTGCATCTGGCTGCCGTAGGGATTGTGGTGCACCTGCGGCGCCTGCTGGTGCTCCTCCCACTCGGTGAGGTCCGTCTGGCTGTGGCGGTAGTGCGCCGGGTAGGCGGGCCGGTCCGACTGGTAGTATTCCTGTGCGGGAATACCACAATTAGATAGCTTCACCCTCATCCAGACCCTCATCCAGACCCAGCGATCCACGCTTTCGCCTCCACACCGGATGGCCGGGCTTACCTTCATCGAGTGCGCGGAAATGCTGGGCGGGAGCGGCGTGGGCCGCACCTCCCTGTAGGTCTGCGGACTACTCTCCTGGTCGGATCCCGGCGAGCGCTGCTCGTCGAGTCCGGTGGTTTGGTAGTGATTTCGTTAGTTGTGCGGTTTGCATTTTAGTTGGGTTTTTTTTTTTTTTTTGGGAGCGGTGCATGGTTGGTGAGAAAGGCAGCAGATTAGAAACGTTAGACACGAGTTGATATCACCCCACACACGTTCCCCAGGGCAATCCACACATGACAAATTGCTCAGCAAGCCATTCGGAGAGTAGGGGGCAATTTCACACTGGTTCAGTGGTTTTCGGAGGGACTAGCCCTTTCTCTAGAGACACACAGAAAATACTACCACTTAAAATACAATTAGAAAAGAATAATACACTTGAAAAAATAGTAATCTATACAAAAGCAAAAGAAACTCCTTTTTTTAACAGTACAAAGTCAACCCAATTTACTTTCTTAAAAGGTTCTCAAAGTTGAATACATATTTGATTGGTAAAGTAAGCTAATTAGATTTCTATTGGAATATTTTGGTAGTAAAATAAGGTAATAAGTGTCTAACTGATTTCTTAATGGAAAATAAGACATGAAAATATGGTCAACAAAAGTAAAGCAATAGAATTTCTTTCTTTAACAATAGAAAATCAACCAAATTGACTTTATTAAAATGTTTTCACCATTTAATGAAGTTTTTATGTGGCAAACTAAGGTAAATAAAGTTATATTAAAATGCTTTCACTATTAAACAAAATATTTTACTATAGTAAAAGCAAGTTATTAAAATTATATTAAAATGTTCTCAGAATTTAATAAAACATTTATGAAGTAAAACAAAGCAATTGAAGTCTAAGTGGTTTCTCAATGGAAAATATTTTAATCAGTTAATCTATTTTCTGATTATTCCCAGCAAACATGTTAACCATTTTCCTGCCGTGTATGAATACGTAATGACCCATTTTATATGGTTCATTTTGGACTTTTGTTTTGGGCCTCTTTGGCAATTATTGTTCGTCCCCCAGTTCCCATCTATTTCTCTGCACTTGATTCCAAAGTCAACTGACTGACTTAACCCACAAAAGCCGGCAAACAGACAATGGCTTATTGGACAAGCAGCGGGAAAATAGGAGAACCTTAAACATGTCGAAGCCATCGCGTGACTGTCCCTCTTCCCCCGGAATAGCCACCCTCTCCTCCATTTTCCATTCGAGTGTGACAGGCCCACACCCTCGAATCTCTCGAACCTCAAAACTCGAATCTCGAAAATAGGGCCCTCGAAAGTGGGCCCGACAACAAGCTCAATTCTGTCATGTGGGATGCGTGGGGCTATTAGGGTGTTGTTTAGTATTCTCTGGCGGTGAAGGGGCAGTGGATCTTACATCGTATTGGTGGTAGGAGGTGCGCTGCTCTTTGGTTATGGTGTTATACATGGGCGATGGCGGATGCACGGGTTCCTGGGGGAAGGCCGAAACGAGATTAGTGGGCATTTTTGTTAAAGAGGGGGGAGGAGTGTGATATCAGATCTTCTGAGAGCCTGTAATTTATGATGATGAAGGCTATTAACTCTCAGCGAAACGAAAAATGTATTAACTACTCGGAACACAAAAAAGGGTTTAAGCAAAATAAAGATAACAAAATAATTAAACATCGGAAAATGTAAGTAATTTCATGGACAGCACTTCTGCAAACATATATTTTAAAAGAATTTATGCAAAAGGTCATGGAAAATTATTTTTCCTATCTATAATTAAATTTTTGGAAATTACCCTTCTGTTAATTAATTTGAAAAAAAAACTTTTAAGTTGAAAAAATGATCTACAATTTTACGGTACGCTTCAGAATTAAATACAAAATAAATCTAGAATAATTGTATTGTGTAATTAGAAATATTGGCTTACATAGATTAAATAAACTTTTTGTAAACAAAATATGTAGGTAAATTTTTATAACAAAAATTCTTCAGAACTAAACAATAGTAAAAATCTAGGAAAAACTTAATTTGATTGCAATAATTCGGAACATGGTAGGTTGATTTATACATTTTTTAATTGAGTGATCTCTAAACTTCTCCGTATGTCTAAATTAAATAATATAAAAATCTGGGAAAATACTGGTTGCAATTAAACAACAATACGGAATATGCCAGGTATCTTTAAATATTTGTAAGCTGAGTGATCTCTAAACTCCACCTAACTTTGTGGCCATCCATTACCTTGGTGGGCGTGGGTGGCTGAGAACCTTTTAAAGGCTGAGCCGTCTGCACGTGGTAGAGATCGCTGGCACTGTGGCTGATGTTTCCTTCGCTGCTGTTGTTGACCAGCGGACTGGCCAACTGCGGCGGCTTGTTACCAAAATGCCGAGTTAATGGGAATGGGTTTGGGTTTGTGTTTGGGTTTGGGGGAGGGAACAGAAATAGACCAAAACGAGGGGCGAGAGTTGATTACGAGAGTTCATTACGAAGGCGGGAGATTATAGCCGCTAAAAACCAGGGCGTGGTGTGGGAAAATCCACAAATCGCAGACAATGGGAGCCATTTACCTCTTTCATGGGACTGGAGCTGCGGCGCTGCTGCTGCGACTGTTGCTGCTGCGGTTGCTGATGTTGCTGGTGGTGATATTGCTGTTGCTGCTGCTGCTGCTGCTGCTGCTGCGACGGCGGCGAGTGTTGCGGGTAGTTGTGTTGTTGCTGTTGCTGCTGCGGCATCTGTTGCGGCGATGTACGCGCCGTCTGCTGCTGCTGCTGCTGGTAGGCATCCTCGTACACCTCGTCCTCCGGAGCGGCGCCACCGCCTCCTCCACGCAGGGCGTCGTCCAACTCCTCCTGTGTGACCTCCACATTGTCAAGTTTCTTCAGGTTGGGCAAAGCGCGTAACACGACCGCCCGATAGCTGCAATTGAGGTTAGACAGAGGCGAGATCGATCATTAGGGGCTTCGCTAGCACAACAACCGCAGACTCGGATAAATGTACATATATGGTAAGTGCTATTTGTTAAACTAGCAACAGAATTTAAAAGGGGCATTGCCACTTCTCTAACTATACCTCAAAGTAATTTTAAAAACATTATGAGTTATTTAAAACTCCCATAAAAATGTAATTTCAAATAAATATAGTCAGATCGACTTACATTTTATATAAGCCCTTGAGCTCTAAAGACTCGGAAAAATACATAAAATACTTTTTTAGTTTTGAAATTAACAATACAATTTATAGGGGCATTGCCATTTGTCTAAATAAAAATCAAAATGATATCAAGATATAATGATCACCAAAAAACTTCTTTAAAATACATTAAAAAGTGAAAAAAATAATTTGATTTTACACGATTTACAGTTTAAAGCTTTTGTGGACAAAATCACGTTTTAAAGCTAATGAATATTGCAATAAATCAAGTAGAAGGTTTCCAACAACAAAGGTTTTCGTAACAAATGTATCAAAACTGAGAAAATAAATCACTTTTAAAAAGGTTATATTTGTAGCTATTTAATGGTATCTTAAGAATCGTTTGCCTTTTAAAGTAAAATATATATATTTAAATAATTTGAACGCTATATAAGAGTTACTCACTTGGCGCCAGCTCGATCGCAACAGGGATTTTCCTCCAGCCAGAGATACCTGAGGGCCGGCAGGTTCTGCAGATAGGCGATCTCGTTGATGTCCGAGATGTTGTTTTTGCGCAGATACAGTTCCTGCAGTTTGTTGCATTCCTCGAAAGGCGATAGTGTGCTGATCTTGTTGACACTGCAGAAAACCAGAAAAACATACAACTTTTAGGTTCAAGAAACTTTCTCTTGGAGGCGACAAAGGCGCCAGCACAACTAACTGCCGTGAATCATGCTCAAAACAACACAAAAGATTCTCCGCCAGATGCGTGCGGTCATTAACTCGTCGGATTCTTCGCAGAATTGCCCACAAATAACAGTTAAAGATGCTCGGCAGGGGGAAAAGCTGATTGTCATCATTTGTCTGCGTCTAGGTCAGGTTTGGACTGGTGTTCCGGGCGATTCCCCGCTTAGCACCTCGGCTCCTAACAACGCTAATTACCGTCTGAAGTGGCCAATTGCCGATGGCCAAAAGCGTGCCTTGTTTGGCGGCTGCCTAAATGAATAAGTAAAGGAAAGATATTTTGCCACACTGAGGGAAAACAAACTACGAAATAACAAAAAAAAAATCATTGATTTAAAAAAAAAAGGTAATTTAAAAAACATTCAAAGAAGGTTATTATAATTTAATAAATTTTGCATTACTTCTTTATTTGAAGTTTTGATATAAAATTTACAATAAACATAAAAGCTTTGAGTTGCAGTAAAATGTATTTATCACACAACAAATGCTGAATGAAATCTGTCTAACAGTAAAGATCTGATTAAACCATTATTATAATACACATTGTCATAAAGTAAATAAAATCTTCTGGGCTATTTATCTATCAACAACTATACAATATAAGAAATCCGTAGAACAAAGATCTGAACAGTGCCACTATTCTGATTTTAATTGTCATAAAGTAAATTAAACTTTCAGTGCTATTTTCTATCAATAAATCTCGAGTTTAATGACACATTCCAGTCGTTTTTCTCCCAGTGTTGATACTAGAAACATTGTTTTCCCATGCAGGGCGGCGGGTACGACAGAAACAACTGTCTAAACTTAGCCAGGAAGATCGCTAAATGGCACACGAGTGCGTTGCCTCAGTGAATGTCTGGTATCTGGAATTTGTGGCCCCGCTTCCCCTATTAATAGTTCGACAAATAAATCAGGCCAATCGAGAGTAGGGCCAATAATGAGTGGCCCTCCACCTCAAATATACATAATCAAAGTTCCCCTAAAGAGTCAAGGTTACCCAGCACTTGAGTACTACTGAGTGGATATTCCATTGATGGCTCGTTGGGGAAGTAAAAAAGAAAAGTGCTAACAGCACGCAAGTCAAATCAATATGCACACTCATAAGGCAAAGGAAACGGAATGGTAATAAGGGGCGAATATACACCCAAGAAATGGAGACTACGCCAACGCATTTTACCTGAATCATTGTTAAGCAAACTGATTTATGGCTCATTTATTCCGTACACTACTCCAGGCCTAGCACAACAAACAAAAAAGCACAAAACAAAGTTGAGAGGACCCCACGTAAAACTAATGCCCAACGAGTTGAGACTGAAAAGGTTTTCGTTGTATAATGTAAAGCCCAAGTAAAGTAATGCAAGCAGAGCAGCCCTCTACGAGAAGTTATTGCCCTCTGGATTACACGCTTGCCATATCAATTTGTTCATTCACTTTTGTATATAGAAAACTGGTGCCATTATCTATCGGCTGATAAAGCTCTACGACAGTTGCGTAGTCTCGATTGCGGTAATAGCTTCCTGATAACAGAAATGAAAAGACAAGACTCTTAAGAGCAGTAGATATAATGGATTTGAAGAGGTATATATCTAGAAAAGCCAATAAAAGAAGAGCTCGCATTTTATTGCTTCTATTTTTATATCATTTGTGGCTCGTCTAAAATTAAATCAAGTTAATTGATGTTTGCTCCCCATTTCTTTAGGCAGAATTCGTGTTATCATTTTGACAACAGCAACTAAAGTCAAAAAATCTTAATTGCTTTTAAAGAAATTGAAAGTAATGACAAAGTAATTCTTTGTATAGGTCTTTTTAAATAAACATGCTATATTTTCTGTCTTTTATTTATGTGAGTCATCTTATTTCAAGGCCTTTTAAGTAAGAGCCAAAAGGGCCAACAAAATGCCAAAAAACAAGCTGCCATAAAAGGAGCACTTTTGCTTTTAATCAAGATTGGCTCACAATAGGATTAATTTCTAAGACCACGTCTTTCCTGTTCTGATCTAACATAAAATAATTTTGAGCTCTTTACTCTTGTAATATATTTAATCTTTTAGACCTACTGAGCTTAAGACAGAAATGTCTTTCTTTTATTCGATTTTAAGAATTTATTAGCTATTTATGATTTATCTTTTTGATAATTCTCATATTAATTCTTTGCCAAACCTGATTACTTCTTATGACTTGGTATATATATATCCTATACAATAATTATTGTTTCCTGTTAAGAATTTGTTTCCTTTGATAATTTCTTTGGAAACAACTGATTCGCCCATACCCACATTTTTATTTCCTGTTCCGAACAGCTATTCTCACGGTTCTCTTCCCCCCAAGTTCATTGGCAAATCGCCCCAAGTTCGCTCCTTTTAAGGCCACAAGCTCTTGTGTACACCTCCTCCCATATCTCTGCCATATGCATAATTAAACGAATCGTCAGAGAGTCGAGAGTTGTCAGCATATTGCCAGCAGATGACGGTGAAGTTTGGCGGCGAATCGATTTCGGCGACCTTGGCAGTCAAAATGATTGTCGCCTTTTAAGGCAAAATCAGCAGCAAAAAACAGCAGCAGCAGCGCATGCAAAGTTATCAAGCGACATGCAAGTACAACAAGTACAAGTAACAAGTACGAGATTGTACTTCATCGAGGGGCACAGACGAAAGTATCTGGCAGATACGAGTCATAACTACAGTATCTGCCCCTACGCAATGGCCTACGCGACTTGGAAAAGTACGCGGCCAGTTGCTATTGCCAATTTTGGAGCTCCCACGACTTTTAGCTTACTATATTTTGTGTAGTTTTCTGTGGCCGCTGTTGCCGCTGCTTTTTGCATTAATTACGCGCTTGAGCGTGCCAAAGTATTTCTCGTATTTCAGCTTGCCTAATGATGGGGCGATGACATCACTTGAAAGCAAATATCTCAGCGGTTAAATGTATCTTTCCCGCTTTCTTGGCAGGCAACCCGACGACGACTTTGGATCAATCAGAGCACGGGTCAGGAAATGATAATCGCGATGATCCTTATATGAGATTTATTCCACGACTAGCGACTTACCTTAGAGCCAAAACCTCCACTCCACGCATTCGTTTGATGATGGACACATCGCTGAGATCACTGCCCCTGAAATAAACAGAGAATGGATGGTATTTTAATAAAGATAAATGTACAGTGGAGCCCCCTTTGAAGTCATCACGCGCTCTTATCGCAGATGGGTCAAGAGTTTGAGGGGGGGCCCATCTCGAAAAGTAGCTCAACTGCTTTTCACGCTTTTCCAAGCGTTTTTCTTTGGAGGGGCGCGTGTTTTTCCAGCCCAGGGAATCGTGACTCGCTCCAAAGTGGACACTTCTAAACTGGTTAGAAGATTGCCCCCGGATTTGGGTCGAGTGAAAGCAGCCGGCGCAGTAGAAGTAAGCAGCAAAGTGGGCAGATCTCCTAGACCCCAGACCCCAGATCGTAGACCTATACAGATCGAAGCTTTCACTACGACTGACTGCACCTGCCCCGGCACGATTAGCAATAGATCAATGCACGGGCGGAAATTAGATCGAACATCGATTTAATGTACAGTGGGGTAAAAGTTATTGATTCATCACGATAATGGCATCGATAAAAATAATATGAAATTATTTGTTAAACAATTTATTATTATTTGTATTATTATTAACCAAATTAACTTTACATATATGGGCTTACATGAAAAAACCATAGATGAAAATAAATATATTTCAAATAGCCTCAATGTCTACGTTCTCCAACAAAAAAAAATGTTTAACCTATTTCGTGGTATAAAATTATAAAATTTATATAAAGTTTAAGAAATGATTAATGTACATTATTTATTTGTTTGTATAAAACACAAACAATAACAATTACTCATTTAACATTTTTGTTTGAGTGGTGACTAATCGAAACAAATTTTAAAAAACGAAGTCGAAGCAAAATATATGTGTACATAAGTTTGAAATTAAATTTTAACTAGTTCTGCAACAAATTCTTTTTTAAATTTGAAGATTTTAAGGTTTTCGAAATCATTTTTCCTGGTGTTCTAGACCAAGTACTTACCAGCAATTTAACTTTTTGATCAGGGACAGATCGGACTGCTTGGCCCGCGCAATCACCATTTCCTCGGTTAGTCTCGACATTGTCTGTGATTGTGATTTTGATTGTGATTGTAATTGTGATGGCCGTTGCGATGGTGATGCTGTTGCTGTTGCTTTTGCTGTTGCTCCAACTGGTCGTCCAACTGGTGTTCAACTGACCCGTGGCCACAGGTGTGCCACTTGCAGATTCCGTCTATATGTGTATAAAATACCGCCGATGGTTGATGGCTGATGGTTAACCACGTATTTAAGCCGCTTGTGAATGCCCAATTTTAGATGGCGAGAGGTGAGCAGCAAATGCAATACAACAATAACTACAACAACAGGTTACGCTGGCTAGGTAAATAATGTTTTTTTTTTTGTATTGTTGTTATTGTAATCACTGGCGTGTCGTAGGCGTTGCCTTATTTTTGCTGTAATTTGTATGTAATTACGTAGGCCTCCAGGTTTTCAAGTTCCTTTGGATTCGGGTTTATCAACCGCTTGATAATTTGTTGCACTTATGTAGGTCTTAACGCTTCCAAGTTTTTAGCCGCTTCAAGATTGCCGTTTTCCTATTGTATCTGGTATCTGGTATTTTATATCTTGTATCTCGTAGTATCTGCCGCTATGTAAAGCGTATCTCCTGCACGGATGACTAATCTCGGGTTGTTGCGCCGCGCTTTTGTTTTTATTTTTACTATATCCAAACGTAACTGGCCGTTGTACCAGCACTATCTTTATCTGTATCTTGTTTCTTTATTTCATGCTCGAAGTATTGTTGTTTTTGCCAAAAATTGTTGCTTGCACTGGGAGGTACGAGAAATTTTTGGCCAATTTCACATCGTCTGGATCGATTTTTTCGCGCGCCCAGATGTTTCCGTTTTGCCCGTTTTTCGTGGATTAGTGGGTGTGTTTTATCGGCTTACTTGCTACACGTTTACACCAACTGAACACTGTATGCCGACACTTTCCATTTCAAACTGACAACCGAATGTAAAGCTAACTGAGATTAAACAAAATTCAGACTTTTTCAGTTCCGATTTTCCGATTTTCCATGCACCTTTTTTCGTATCTCTCTCCCAAAGGTATGTATGCAAGTGTAGATGTAAGCACGCGAGAGTGTATAGGTGTGAGCCAGAGCGAGACAGCAGAGACGCGCGTGTTTTACACAATACTGCACTATTATATACTATTAGTAATTGTGTTTTTTTCGATGGTACGTGCGCTCGGCTCGACGGCGAGAAACAATCTGGGCGCTTTGGGGCCTTTCTGCCGTCCAACTGGAGCTTTCATTGTCTTTGTTTACGAATGCGGTGTGAAGAGGAAGAGAGGAGAGAGCGAAAGAGAGCGTGGGCGGTCAACCAGTTTTGTTTTTTTGTTTTGTGAAGGTGCGTGTGTGTATGTCATTACATAGTTATTATTTGTATTATATATTACTTTTAATTGATAATCTTTAAGATTAACTAGTTAAAAGAAGCAGAATTATAAAAAAGCAGAATAGTAATATTTTTCGGTTTCACAGATTTGCCACCAGTGTGACCTTGCAGGCGAAAAGGAAAGCACCATCGAAGCAGTTTTGGTATTTACCACTGTTACTATTTGGTAAACATATTTGAAATTATTCAACTAGTGGCTGTTTTAAAAATAAACTGATAAAAATAAAGAAAATCTGGCGCATAAAATAAAAATAAATGTAAGTTATAATGCAGTAAAATAAACTTATAACATTGATTAAGTTTTCTGACTACAAAAATAATTCAAGTAGGAACATTACAGAAGCTTACCTTTACTATTATATAAGTATATACAACTAATTTTGAAATAAACAACTGAAGGGATACGTTACAAAACCAATACAACTTAAGCGTAAAATAATATAGTAAACTTTAAATTATTTTTATAAATAATCAAACTTACATAATAACAGAATATAAAAAAGTCACGTTAGTAGGAAGCGCTAGTAAATTAACTTTCATTTAATTATTTACATAAGAAATCTTCAATTTAAATTTTGAATTTTCAAATTAATTCATATTTTTAGTGCCGAAACCACCAATACGTAAACTTTTGGTTTTGGTATATACCAATATTTTAGTATAATTTACGTGATCTAAACTCGTTAGAGATGGATTAAGATCGATAGATTTCAGTAGTATCGATGACATCGATTGGCCTCAATGCTTCCACCTCTAAATCGTGCTGATTTATTTATAAATTATTTTCTCTCTATCGTTTCTCGCTTTGTTTCGTCGCCCGCGACGTGTTGTTTTGTGAAAATTTGCATCGCATTTTATAGCGCGTGCATTAGTGTTGGTCGGTGTGTTGACGTGCGAGGAAAAGCGACGCTGCGAATTGCGCGAGATCGGAGAAAACAAAACATCTCGTCATATCCCAAGCAGCGACAGCAGCAGCAACAGCAACCCATTAAAATCATAACCTTGGGCGTGTATTAATCGAGTGATCCCTCCACACCCCCCGCCCCCATCCGATTTGATCTGGATTACTTGGCTTGCTGTTGGAACTGTTGTTTTCTGGTTCCGCTGGCGTTTCTGTTTCCGTGCAAACATCTGGCGAGATAAGGGCCTATATAAGACAGCCACCTCCTCATTCCCCCCCCACTCCGGAAGCCCCCTCGAATACGAAAAAAAAAAACTTGGTTGCAAAAACGGCGGCGCGCTGAACGTAAGTTGGATTACGTCATCGTTTGAGGGCAATTTTAGACTCTGATTGTGCCATATATACACACAGATATAACTCGCAGTTATAGTTTCGCCTTTGGACACAACAGACGCCCGCGCATCCGAACAGTTTTTATTGGCGAGATGATTCATGTGGGCGAGAATACGTGGAACCTGCGGATCCTAATCACGGACCTGCAGGTGGAGAAGACGCTCAGGGTGAAGGGCGATCAGCATATTGGCGGCGTAATGCTGCAACTGGTGGATCCGGAGATGCCCAAGGATTGGTCCGATCACGCCTTATGGTGGCCCGCCAAGAATGTCTGGCTGACCAGGACACGATCCACTCTGGACCAGGCCGGAGTCCAGTCAGACTCCTTTCTGCACTTCACACCCATGCACAAAACACTGAGGGTCCAGATGCCCGATCTTCGCTATCTCGACTACCGTGTCAACTTCTCGGCCAAAACTTTTGGAGCCGTTGTCAGTCTGTGCAAGGATCTGGACATACGCTATCCCGAGGAATTGTCGCTGTGCAAACCCCTGGAACCGGAGCATCTCAAGAAGAACTTCTCCAAGTTGCCGCAACGCAAGATTCCAGTGGCGGAGGCGAATGGCGTGTCCTATTTGCAGCCAGCGGCGGACACCAACTCATTTGTCCCGATCACAGGCGCCTACAACGGCAGCAACGGCAGTCTGGATCGCTCGCACAATGGCAATCTGCTGTGCGCTCCGGCCTCACCGTATGCCACCACTCCCCGGCGGGCAGCCACTGCGCCGGGCACGCCCATTAGCTCGCCGACGGGCACCTGGAAGCACAACTCCACGGGCTATGCCAGCTACGATTCCAACTCCAGTTTCGGTGACCTCCAGGAGAACCTGGCCATGTCGCCCAGGTCACCCAGTCCGGATGTGAGAGCTCGCCTGGTGCGACCCAAGTCTCGAGTGGAGAAGGCGCGCCTCAATGTGGGCTGGTTGGACTCGTCGCTTTCCATCATGGAGCAGGGAGTTAGGGAGTACGACACCCTCTGTCTGCGCTTCAAATACTACACCTTCTTCGATCTGAACCCCAAGTACGACCAGGTGAGGATCAATCAGCTGTACGAGCAGGCCAAATGGAGCATTCTCAACGAGGAACTGGATGCCACCGAGGAGGAGACCCTCATGTTCGCCGCCCTGCAGTTCCAGGTTAACCACCAGACGGATCTGCATCCGCCAGGCATCGATTCTGGCATCGACACCTCCAGTCAGGAGACTGGCGGCGAGGACGACATCGACTCGGCTCTCAACGAGCTGCAGATCACGCTCGAAGGTCCGGGCGGTGGCAAGGATCAGGGCAACATTACCAGGATACCAGAGCTGTCGGATTATCTGAAATTCCTGAAGCCGCAGCGGTTCACCCTCAAGGGATACAAGCGCTACTTCTTCACCTACAGGGATCTGCATCTGCACCTGTACAAATCGCAGGAGGAGTCGCGACGAGGAGCACCCAGCATCAGCATCAATTTGCGGGGCTGCGAGGTGACGCCCGACGTGAATCTGGCCCAGGGAAAGTTTGCCATCCGACTGGAGGTGCCGCCAGAGGGCCGCAATGGGCCGAACAGCGAGGTCTGGGTGAGATGCGAGAACGAGGAGCAGTACGCCAAGTGGATGGCCGCCTGTCGCCTGGCCGCCAAGGGTCGCTCCCTGGCCGACAGCTCCTACGACAGCGAGGTGAGCAGCATTCGCTCGCTGCTCCAGATGCAGAAACCCGCCCAGGGAGCTCCGCTCACCGTCAATCCCCGGAGTGTGGAGCCCATGGACTACCTATCGCCCAAGATGATGCGCAAACTTTCGAGCAAGGCAGTGCAGAGGATTTTGGAGGCGCACGCCAATGTGCGTCAGCTGCCACTGATGGAGGCCAAGATGAAGTACATCCAGGCCTGGCAATCACTGCCCGACTTCGGCGTCACCCTGTTCGTCATCAAGTTCGACGGCCACAAGAAGGAGGAGCTGTTGGGCGTGGCCAACAACCGGATCATGCGCATGGACCTCGCCACCGGCGATCACATCAAGACCTGGCGCTACAACACCATGAAGGCCTGGAACGTCAACTGGGGCATCAAGTGCATGATGATCCAGCTGCAGGACGAGAACATCATCTTCTCCGTCCAGTCGGCGGACTGCAAGGTGGTGCACGAGTTCATCGGCGGCTACATATTCATGTCCATGCGCTCCAAGGAGAACAACCAGACGTTGAACGAGGAGATGTTCCACAAGCTGACGGGCGGCTGGTCGTAAACGGATTACCGAATACCGGAATCTGGAGGAGTGGAGTGGAGTCTTACGAGTGCCAAGCACAAACCTCGTCGCATGCTCTGCACTTTTATCTATATTTACCTAAAGTAGGGTGCGTTGATTTATGGGTTGAAAAGTAATCAGCGGACTATGCTAAGCAACACCAGTTGAAGCTTCCTCAATACTAAAAACTTAACAAGGTCTTCTTTCTGTTCTGGTTTATATTGTAGCTTAAATTTGTATCTACTTTGAAAATTATTTTTGTGTTCTCATTGCCGGCATTTACGTTAAAGAATAATTTACTTTATGGCAGCCAGAACAGCTATTAAAAGTATTAGGTAAACTTGGAATACATCCAAGTATTGGTATTTGTGCTGTAAAAATCTAGGCCAATAATTAACTTGATTTTAAAACGAAAGTTGCTTGAAATTGTCCAACGATTACCTCCAATTTGTATCAACCCAGTCAGTCGAAGCACCCTAATCGAAAGCGTAAGCGTTGTGTGTATAAGTGGAATTCTAGACTAATAGCAATCAGCACGCTGATAACGATTATGATAACGATGTTGTGCCTTCGCCAGAGCAATCTTAACCCAAAACAAGTCCAAGTCAATGTCCTGTGTTCTCTGTGTTGTCTGTTTTTCTAACACAGCGTTAAAGTTTACACTACTTAAGTCCTTTTTGTACCACACTTGTGCGGACTTGGGCGCGACTAACCCGCAGTTTTACATATTGTATATTTATTAAACAAATTAATAAGCAGAATAAATTATTTTATATGTTTTTAATGATCGTAAACGATGGTGCGTTTCTTTGCATTCCAATTGGCAGCTGGTAACCCGATCTCGCGCGCCCTAGGGGATTACTCATCCAATTTTTAAAAGGGTTATAAGCCTCCAGAGGGGCGTTGCTGCAATATTCTCGGGCGTTTAATATAAAGCACGGGTATTGTTATTAATAACAGCGCACTCAATTGAATTGATAAGCACCCGAGCACGACTCATTCGTCGCTATATGGGGATTCGAGATTATAGGAAGCTCCGCGTTCCATACCGTTGATTGATGGCCACATCGGATCGTAGAGTTATGTGCCTCTGAATGGGGCAACTTCTCACGCAATGCCTTGCGAAATCTTCAATTTAATTTAATTTAAGCACGGTGACACTGTCTCCTAAGAAGTGAAACATTCCGGATGTGGCTGAAAAAGGAATGACAAACAAATAATCAGTCAAATGTTTGTTTTTAGAGGACTTGTTATACAAAAAATATTTTTTAAAAATGTATGATAACAAACATTTAAAAAAAATATTTTTTGTGTAACAAACAACTGCATATTTTTATTTATATTTTATTTTCTACATAAGAAATGTCTTAACTCTTTATTTGTTAGTTTCATAAAAAGAGTCTTAAAAGGGAGGGGTAACACAGAAGGAATGTTGCTTATTTGTAACAAATGTAAATAGTTGCTTAAGAAACCACTTTGGTGACTCTTATGGAAGAAAAATGCGGGTGTAAATAAATTGTGACTAATGCAAAATAAGCTTTGTTCTTAAAGGGCTTGCTTTAAAAATGGAAACAAAATTCAAAAATTCTTTAATTTGAATCATTCCTCCGATAGAATAAAAGTTATTTTTAAATTAAGTTCAAAACAGAAATTAGGATGATTAATATTTATTTATATTTTAAAATGATCGCCTTTGAATTAAGAAAAAGGTCTTCTTTTGACTTACAAATAGGTATTGTTATTTAAGTACTATTAGAAATATTAAATTCATTATTGTTTTTTTTTTTTTCAACCACCAAATAAAATTACAATTATAAATTATACTTAAATTTTGATAACAGAACACAATTTTTAAATCGAATTTAAAACGAAACGGAAGAAAAAGTCCGTTAGAAGCGTTCGTAACATAATGTAGCGGGGACTCACTCCGCAGTTAGCGAAGACTTGATCCAAGACTAGCAATGACCCGCTAAAGATGGAAAATCATCGATTACACCACGATATCGATTATCAATATTTTAAAAACATCGTTGTTTCCCCACCTCTGTTTTCAAATTCAATCGCAAATTAAACGCTCTTTATTGTTTAAGCCCCGCTTTCCGCGAACAACAAAGTAAACGTAGACAAATTAACGAATCAAGTGAATTTAAGCAAAAAGAATTACGTTTTTACCTGTTTTCGTGGCACCTGCGATTTGCGTCGCTGTTTCTGCGTGCATTTCACAAATACATTCGCAGCGAACGCGTGTCTGTGTGAAATTGTGCAAAAACCTGTGACGACAGAGGGGGCGGGGGCGGAGGGGGGTTTGCTGGCGTTGTTGAAAGCAAATATATTCATTGTTTTTGTGTGTGCACTATAAATTAATATTAAAGTGGCGGCGTCATGAGGGGACCGCTTACCTCTCGCCAGCGAATCCAAAAACCCAGCAGACAGCTGCTCATTTGGCGAGTGTAAACAAAGCGCTCACACACACACATACACGTGCAAACGACTACGGCTGGCCCTCGCATATCGAATTTCGCATCTTTAAGCCACGAAATCTCCATATCCACTTCCATTTTGCCACCGTCGCATCATCTTTTGTCTGACCAACCTGTTCGCATCCAGACAGGAAGTATCTTCCAACTTGGCAAGTTCATCCAAGTGCAGCGACGTCGACGGAAGCAGTAGCAGAAGCAGCGCTGCCAGCATCGCAGCAGCAGCAGCTGTAAAGTTGTAAACGGAACAATAACCTCTTAAAATTTGGTGAGTATAAAGTAAAGCCCTTTTGAATACCCCGGGAAAATTAAACAAATGTTGAAAAAACACATCAAACGGACTAGCCCCTTCACTGATTTCAGGGTGGGATAGTTGTCATACAGTGGAACCCCCCACCTGATTAAATCGCCCTAAACTATTGGCATTCATAGTTGTACATATTGAAAAGATAATAATTTTAATATTTACAACTTAAGTTGCGGGACAAAATCTGGCATAAATAAAATTATAATGGCATAAATAAAATTTTAAATATATTAAAGGTATGAGTTTTCAGTGAACTTATTGATCTGATCATATTTAAATGTAACTGCAAGATGATAAATAAAATATCTTATATCATACATTTAATTGTATTGTAGCTTCACTAAAATATATTCATTCATATTTTAAAATATCTTCTAGATACAAATCTTGTTTTCTTACAAAACTATCTTTGGATACAAAACAAAGGTTTAAAATGTATCTGTTCATAATTAAAAAAAAATTTTTTTGAGGAATTGTAATTTAAATATTTGATCCATACATGGCATAATTAAAACTAGATCCTTGAAAACTCAAACCCTTTCTCGTTATTTGTGTAAATATTTAATGGCACCAATTCTTTTTTCTCATAATTTGATTATAGACAGTGGAATATTTGAAGATAAGTTCAATAACGGGGAAAAGGGGGAACAAATTAAAATCCTTAAACGCCATAGCAATTCTGTTTTGTTTGAGTTGAGGAAGTTCGACTGTATTCAAATCGCCATATACAATGCAACAGGAAAGTGTTTGTACCTGGGTTATTTGTGTACCTCGGAGTCACCATTTTTGAAATATCTTTTTAACGACAGATGGTTAGTTATGGACGTTTGACTGTATCTAATTACACAGCTGATAACCTGCTCTCAACTGGGCGTTGCTTTGTCTCTTTTCGCCATCACTGTCTGCCTCTCGCATCCGTTTCCGCCCCAATAATTAGTCAAACTGTCGCCGCAAAGTGTAATTTCTATTATTCGCTTGTTAACAATAGACATTATCATGCAGGACTCCTAGGGGCATGCATATCGGTTTCATTTTAAGTCTCCCATCGGCTCACCTTCTATTGCGCTCTATAAATAAACTCCACTTTAGCACGCGCCAGAGTTCAAGCCGCCTTCTGAGATCCCCTCAATTTCCCCCCATCATATTTTAACAACCATTTCATCTCGTTTGGGGGTTTACAAGGTGACGCAACGCGTTTACGTGGATTGCCAAGAAAACGTGACGTCATGTGGGGACATATTTACACAAATCCACATTTGTGTGCATTGGCCCCTCTTGGAAACAGCCAGATGTTCAACAAGTATTGCTCAAAATAGCCTACTGCTTTGTCGAAGTTCATAAAATTAAGTAAATAGTTTAGCCTTTAATCCGCTCACATCCGCTGGCCAAATAAGCGGAAAAACGGTCATGATAAAGTTCTAGGAATGTTAAAGTTATTGCTATTCGCTTGATAATCATTTGGTTCTAAAAACTTTGGTTTACTCTGGGATTTCTTATCTATGTTCGATTTTTTCTGAGAAGCATGGACTATAAAAATATAAATTTATTGATAACGAAACCATAAAAAGATTAAAAATCCGAGGTCTACATTTTTACATTAAAATTCTTTTAGGTTAAAAAAATTTTTTTTTTTTTTATATGGATCAGACTGAATTTATTAGGGAATTGGTTTATCAATTTCTAATCAATATATATAACCCAGTAGACTTAACTTTTAGTACCATAAATGCTGAATGTCGTCATAAATCACTGAATTCTTTGCGTCACCCGTTATGAATGGCAACATGTGGAATTGCTTATTTGTGCCCATAAATGTTGCACACTTTCGTTGCCCCCTTAGCATTTTTTATCGCTCAGCGCGGGGATTACGTGATCGCGCTACTGACCGAGTAGGAGTAGCCGTGGCCACAGTTCATTCACCGATCAGTATGTTTTCGAGATTGCCTTCAACTGACTGGGTTTCGTTGTGTGCTCTTCCAGGATATGACCTCCACTTTGGCGGCAGATGGCGGTGGCGGTGGCGGTGGCCTCAGTGGCGAGACGGCCTGGCTGGAGGATCTGCTGCGCGAGGTGCAGCTGGAGCAGTTTCTGGACAGGATTCTCGACGATCTGCAGGTGACCCGGCTGGCGCACTTCGACTACGTGCTGCCCGATGACCTGGAGCGCTGTGGCCTGGGCAAACCGGCCATTCGCCGGCTGATGGAGGCGGTGCGCAAAAAGAAGGCCCACCAGTGGCGCAAGAACATCCTGTCCAAGCTGATCGGTGGCGGCAAGCAGCCCTCGTCCAAGAAGCAATCCTCCTCCGCCCGGGAATCCAACCAGGGCAATGGCACCCAGCTGACCTGCCTCATCCACGAAAAGGACATCACCATGGGTCTGAAGCTGGGCGACGGATCCTTCGGCGTGGTGCGACGTGGCGAGTGGAGTGCCTCGCCGGCGGGCAAGGTCATCCCGGTGGCCGTCAAGGTGCTCAAGTCGGACAATCTCACCCAGCCGGGCATCATCGACGACTTCTTTCGCGAGGTTCAGGCCATGCACGCCCTGGATCACGCCAATCTGGTGCGGCTGTACGGCGTGGTGCTGTCGCAGCCCATGATGATGATCACCGAGCTGGCGGAACGGGGATCGCTGCTGGACACGCTGCGCAAGCAGTGCCGCCACACCTCGCTGACCATCATCTGGAACTGGTCGGTGCAGATTGTGACTGGCATGGCCTATCTGGAGCAGAAGCGTTTCCTGCATCGCGATCTCGCCTGCCGCAATGTCCTGCTCGCCGCCGGCAACAAGATCAAGATCGGCGACTTTGGCCTGATGCGCGCCCTGCCGCAGGAGGACGACTGCTATGTGATGTCCGAGCACAAGAAGGTGCCGTTTCCCTGGTGCGCTCCGGAATCGCTACGCTTCCGGCAGTTCTCGCACGCCTCGGACACCTGGATGTTTGGCGTGACGCTGTGGGAGATGTTCAGCTTCGGCGAGGATCCCTGGGTGGGTTTGAATGGCTCACAGATCC